TCTCAAGGTTTGCAATTTTTCAAGTTAAAAAGTGACATAACTCTAAAACGGTAAATGATTCACTGCCCATATTCAAACTCTGTCTGTGTTGCGGTAACTAGCATTGTGTATAAGATTCATAAAATTTAGATGAGACAAACTTAAGTTAGAGTGTGGAAACTGAAAAATTTGCAATATTCCAAGTTATAAAGGGGCATAACTATAGAACAGTTAGTGACTCACTGCCCAAAATCGAACTCTGTCTGCGAGGTTTCGTTTCTTAGCATAGTGTAGGAGTTTCATAAAATGTGGATGAGGCAAACTTAAGTATAGGTGCGGAAAGATATAAAGGGGCACAACTCTTAGAGCAGTAAGTGGCTCACTGGCCAAATTCGAATTCTGTCTGAAAGTTATGGTTTTAGCAATGTGTATGAGTTTCATAAAATTTAGACGAAGAAAAATTTAAGTTAAGAGTGAGGAAACAAAAATGGGACACACGAACGGAAGGACAGTAAAGGGTAACACTTAATACCATTGTCGCCTACGGAGGGGGCATAAAAACACAAACTTTATACAAGAGACCCTAAGGATCATTCAACCCAAGTTTGGATGAAATTGATCCAGTGGTTTCAGAGGAGAGGATCTTTGAAAAAGTTTACATGGGACAAAGGAGGCAAAGGTTTGGCAAAGTTTACTTGGCCTTGTAGGCCAGGTGAGCTAAATATAAGATGTGGTATGATTGCCAATGAGACACTATCCATCAGGGATTAAAGGATTTAAACAACTATGCGGTACTGCACTGCCTTCAACGATGTGAAAAACCCATACTGTATAGTGAGCTATAATTGTCACCAGCATAACAATATGAAACCATTCAAATGAGGAAACCAACAGCTTGATTTATGTTAAAAAATACGAAAGAAAAACAAATAAAACAGACAGCAACCAAAATCTACCACTGAAGTACAGGGTCCTTACTTGGGACAGACACATTAAGAATGTGACAAAGGTAAACATATTAGGGAGTGCTCAACCCTCCCCCTTAACTAGGACAGAGGTGTTACAACACAAATAAACGGAGAATATGTCCATGGGACACAGATGATACCCTCTTTGTATATAAAGTTGTAAAGGGCATAACTCGAGAACGGCAAAAGTGACGCCACAAATTCGAACTTGATCTGCATATATCGTGGTAATAAGCATTACATATAAGTTTCATAACATTTGGTTGAGGCAAACTAAAATTAGAGAACGACGGACAGACAGACAGACAAGGGTAACACTTAATGCCCCCTGCGGTGAAGACAGGGGCATAAGAAAAGTATTGACAAGGACGGGCTAAATCACATTCATGGAAATAAGAAGTTCTAAATATAAAATATAACTTACTTATAAGGTAATGTTACACTTACACTTAACATCGATTAATTGAATGATTGGTGTTAAATGCCACTTTCAGCACGGTTGGCTATATAAGGGTGGCCAGTGTTTACTGGTGGAGGAAGCTGGAGTGCCTGGAGAGAACCGCCAACCTTCAGTAAGAAAACTGACCATCCTAGTCAATTAAGATTGGAGTCTAACACGTACACCTCACAACCTCAGTGTTGACAGGCTAGTGATTCTTAGCTGGACTTCTTAGACCGCTTGGCCACCAAGACCTACTTTACTTATCATAAAATTAATCAATTGATGAAACTGCCACAGATCAACTCTTTCTTGGCTTTTCAGTGCAGAAGAGACAAAAATAATCACATTTATTCCTGGGCTGCCAGGAAATATATTTATTTTAAAAAGGCATACAAAGTCATAAATGTGTAAACACTAAATATGTGGAAAACACAAAAAAATAAATTCATTTATGTTCAACGAAGTGATGACAAAAAACAAATGATAAATAATAATGATATTATAGCGAAGGTATATTCAATTACAACATGAAAAAATCAGTTGGCAATACTTTCACTAGAATTGGTTCAAAAAACATCTTTGAGGAAATATATCAAACCCCCATAGTAAAATAAAATTATTTACTGTACAACAATGTTATATTTCTTTAGGAATGAAAACAAAAGAAGTCTTGCAATATTACCTTTGCAATTAGTACATTTAAATAAAATATTATGCACAAAAACCTGAAATAACATTGGTAGATCTTGAAATTAGAATAATGTGGTGAACTCTTAACAAGTTAGCTTAGTCTTTTTTTTTGATATATTACATACCCAATATATTCTATTTATTTAATTGCTATTTGTGGAAAAAATGTAATATGTTTATATTACCCACAGATATAAACATATCATGTGGTGGCCAACCCTCCCATTTTATTTTTCCTTAAATAACCCTAATAGCTCACTGAACAATAAATACAAAAGTTATTAAGTACATCTATTTATGTCATTGTTGAAAAAAAGACAAAAAAGAGATTAACCTAGAGATGTTACAAACTGCTATATTCAAATAATGCTGTCAGAAAATGAATTGTGAGTTCATATAGACAAGATAATCACAAAAATAACCACTATATTGTATTTTATTCCAAAGAGATCTAGCTGATAGTTTGAATAAACATGATAAAATGGTGTTAAATGCGAATTTCAATACTATTAACTATAATGTGGTGGTCAAGTTTTAATTGGTGGAGGAAGCCGGAGTCCCAATAGAGAACCATGATCCTTGGCAGGAAAACTGACAATCCTAGTCCCATTAAGATTGGAGTCGAACACAACTGCCATGTGAGGGACTCAAACACACCTCAGTGTTGACAGGCTAGTGATACAGTAGGTAAACTACTTCGACCACTCGGCCACCAAGGCCCCTACATGATGAAGAACAACTTTAAAAGAAGTTCAGCTTGCTTGTTTGCTAAGTGGATATATTGATTTTCTTCTGGAGACTGAATTTTTTAAATTGTTATCCAATCAGAACCATATGAGGAATTTGTTTGCAACAGAGATAAAACGACAGCTTTAGTAATAAAAAAAAAAAAAAAAAAAGAATTGAACAGTCATTTCGAAGAAACAATAGAAATGTAAGTTAGAATAGTTTTTAAACAGTGACGGTTCCATTCATTTAAAAAAAATTAATCCTGATGGAATGTATCAACAAATCAGAATTTCACTACAGATACCACGTAGTTAAAACTAAAAACAAATAAGAAAAATAGTGAAAAAACAACATCTATGTCTCACCAATGGGACTTCATTCAGTGGAGATAACAAAACTATTCTCTGTCAAAAGTACAAATTTTAACAATATTCAACTACACTAAATACAAATTATTAAAATGATTGAGCAATTTTATCAAACATAAAACCAAAATAACTTTTTGGCATGTGATTGATTTGAAGATAACATAAAATTGGAAATTTACAGCTTAATAACTGAGGTCATTCAAGTTTTACACACAAGTACACATTTGTATAATGATAACTGATAGGAAATTATTGATAACATTGAAATTTTTCACAACAGCACAAATCCCATCCTGATGGGAGAACAAAGGGGGACAGAGTGGAAAATATTGTTAAATTTCCATAACCTGGATCAAAATTGTCCCAATTGTGTTTATCATGAAATATGTGTGTATGGTGGTCTTTAATTAATTAATTTGGGTTCTGAAATATAATTACTGAAAATCAAATATTGAAAAGCTTGAAAGGGTGAAATGTATCTTCATATTATAACAGTGTTCACCCCTCAACTTTCATATAGCATCCTGATAAACAGTGAATTTTGAAATACCATCATGTTTCTAGAAATTATAACATCACATCCAAAACACAATCTATAAGAATATTATTTCAGAAAACTTCACATTACAATGATGCTAAAATGCCCTGGGGAGAACACTGTCATTTGGAAGATCCATTTTAAGTACATGTTGCATACATTTTGCATTCTGGTTATAAATGCTGATAAAAAATATGGCTGCGACTAGGTATATCAATTCAGTTCTAATTATTTTATATGAATTTACAAAATGTTGACATACTGTCATTAATGACAAAAAATTAAAGGCATTTATTGTGAACACATGATAAAACCATTTTCTCTTCATCAAATGCTCATTTGTTATATTTCTTTAATTAATTCAGATTGGTCGGACATCAAATTCACCAACAAATTATCTACAGGGTTACACGTTCACACTTGTACATCCTTTATATAAATGGGGAATGTGTCCATGGGACACAGATGATCCCCCCGCTTGCATATCATATAAAGTTATAAAGGGACATAACTGAAGAACGGTAAAAGTGACGCTACCCAAATTTGTACTTGATCTGAGTTTTGTGGTAATGAGTATTGTGTAAAAGTTTCATAACATTTGGTTGAGGCAAACTTAAATTAGAGAACGGAAACTAAAAATTTAAGCAATTTTTCAAATTGTAAAGGGACATAACTCTAGAACAGTAAAAGTGACACCACCAAAATTCAAACTTGATCTGTATTTTGTGCTAGTAAGCATTTTGTATAAGTTTCATAAGAATTGGATAAGGCAAACTAAAGTTAGAGAACGGAAACGAAAAATTCAGCAATTTTTCCATTTGTAAAGGTGCATGGATGGAGAGTTGTCTCATTGGCACTCATACCACATCTTCTTATATCTATAAATCTAGAATGGTTAAAGTAACGCCACCAAAATTCAAACTTGATCTGTGTTTTGTGGTAATTAGCATTGTGTATAAGTTTCATAAAATTTGGTTGAGGCAAACTGAAGTTAGAGAACGGAAACCAACTTTGGGACGTACAGACGGGTGGACGGATGGATGGACAAGGGTAAAGCTTAATGTCCCCTCCACCATGGCGGGGGCATAAAAATATCCTTACCAAACCTTCCTGTATAGTTTTGAAAATAATTCATGTCAAACAACAAGACATATGTAAAGGAATAAATTTATTATCATTACATGTCTTGATTTGTTTGTTTAAACAAAGCATGGTATACCAAATTCTATGTAATCTTACTTCAAAGTTCCCCCCCCCCCCCCCCCCCCCCCCAAAAAAAAAACCCAATCCCAGCAAACCCATAAAATCCATCTTCATCCTTCACCTCAGAACAATACACCTTATCGCTATTTGTCCGCCATTACTGGACATTGCAAACATTACCATAAAATTTTGATGTCACAAAAGAAAATGTCCGACACTACAATGCAAAAGTGATTGTTGTATGACATTAATAGTTCAAGTGTCCCAGCTGCACAAATAGCGATAAGATCTTTCTCCAAAAATACTCCAGTAACATAGAAGATGAAAAGATGCAAGTTTTTTTCATGATTTTGAGACTTTTGACTTCATGCTTGCATTTTCCTGACAACTTTAACTTGCACTATGTTCATTACTGAAACTGCAAATCACTTTCATTTGTACATAACATGAGCATTATTCCTATGAAAGATGTTCATCACATTGGTGAGACAGGTCTGTTTATGTATGGTGATCTCCGTCGTCCAGGACTGGACCCATCCTGAGGATGATAACCTGGTGACCAGAGGTATGGTGATTGTGATTTAGATGGTGAATACGCTGGCGGTGAACCTGCATTAAAATGAATTCAGAGATTATATGTTGGTTCTGTATAATCAATGGTATGCTTCTTAATTTCATGAATATTGATTGAAACCTGAAATTTTCTTTAATCTATGAACTTTTAACATCATTATTAACAGATATTTGTGATTGGAAATTAATCAGTCAGGGGCATTACTTAAACAAGTAATTTTTTTTAGTTACTTATATAGGTAATTTTTGTTTTTAAAAATGATAAAATTACTCAATAGAGTTATTTTAAATTTCAATAGAAGCATGGACTAAATGTAGTTTTCATGAATTTTTACATTATTTTATATCATAAAATTAAGAATTTGTTAGAATTGAGAGGAGTATAGAGATAAAGGGTTACTTTAAAAATAATGACAAAAATATTACTTGAATAAGTTATTTTATACATCTTTGAAAGAATTAGTAATAACACTTATTTAAGGAACATATGTAATTGTTTTGGGTTACAAATTATAAATAACTTCAAGTCTTAATTAATTCACAAGTTTATATCTATTTATATCTGTCTACCTTCAAGATTTCCAAGGAAAGTGATATTTTAAGAGTCCCAAGAGGCCAATCTTTGATCCAGAAGCCTCGATATGAAAGTTAAGTGCGTCAGAAAGGCAATTAGTGTTTCAGAAGGATTAGATTTTATATTTCATGGGAAAAATACCCAAATGACTGTGAAAATTTGTTAAAACTAGTAAAATCTGTATAATTAGACACCTATAAAAATAATATTTAGAAAAGTTACTTATATAAGTAATATCTAAAATAGCCTCGTTTTCAACATTACTTGCATAGGTAATTTTAAAAGTTACTTGTTTAAGTAATGCCCCTGACTGAGATAAACTAAAATTTCTATTTTTAAACATAATATATGAAAAATTGTAAACCTTGTGTCTTGCCTATAACTGCTGCAATCAGTGTAAATGTGTTTCGTTGACTACCTAAAACTAAGTCCATTTTTTCGGTAAAATGCAGAAAAATGAATAACAAAATTCTAAATTGTGCTCAGAGTGCTATCTCTTGATTATGATGAACCTTCTGGTCAATTTCTTTAAAACTCCATAAAGGTTTGAAAAAGAAATTTAAGTTTAAATGATGATTACAAAAATACTATGTCTATCTATCAGTAGGTCTACATGATGTTTAATAACTTTTCAAATTGAAATTGACAGTTTTGTAGTTTTTTTCAGGTTAAAAGGTATTTAAGTGTTTAAGTGTAAAATAAACTGTTATCACAGAGATATGTCTCGCCTTTTTGTAATTTTGATAATGTAAATGTTGAAATTAAAATAGCAATACTTTAACATGTAAGTTATGCAAATATTCAAAGTTGATGAACCATGACTGAAGGTACATGGCTAAATAATCTCCATGGAATGAGATGTGCCAATGCTAATACAACTGCATACCAAATACCACTGACTTATTATAAGTCGTTCCCTTTAAACAAACCTAAACACAAACATTAACTTGTAAACTATGTAAAAGTTTCAAAGTCAATGAACCATGATCAGGGGTGGGGCTATATAATCTCCATGGAAATGATACTTGCAAATGCCAATAAATTTGCATACCAAATATCATTGACTTAACATTAGCAGTTCATCTTAAACTGATCTAATCACAAACTTATACATGTAAACTAGGCAAAAGTTTCAAAGTAAATAGACCATGACTGAGGGGGCGGGCCAAATATTCTCCATGGAAATGAGATGTGCTAATGCTTATACAACTGAACACCAACTAACATTGGCCTTCCACTAATGGTTCCACTTGAACTGACCTAATCACAAACTAATACATGTTAACTTAGCAAAATTTTCAAAGTCTATAGACCATGACTAAGGGGGCAGAGCCAAATAATCTCCATGGAAATGAGATATGCCAATGCTTATACAACTGCATACCAAATATCATTGACCTAACACTAGTGGTTCCCCATAAATTGACCTAATCAAAAACTAATACATGTAAACTATGAAAAGTTTCAAAGTCAATAGACCTTTACTGAGGGGGCGGGGCCAAATAATCTCCATGGTAATGAGATGTGCCAATGCTAATACAACTGCATACCAAATATCATTGACCTACCACTAGTGGTTCACCATGAACTAGACCTAATCACAAACTAATACATTGCTGACGCCGCCGCCGCAGGAAACAGCTATCCTATGTCTCGCTTTTTGACTCTGTCAAGGCGAGACAAAAACCTAGTTGAGCCTTTTTCAACTGATTTTAATGATTTGTTCTAATGCTGTGCTTTTACACCACTGTCCCAGTTATGAGGGAGGGTTGAGCGCTTGAAAGCATGTTTAATTCCGCCACATTCTGTATGTGACTTTCCCAAGTCACAAGCCTGTAATTGAGTGGTTGTTGTTGTTCTCTGTCTATCATAATTGTTTTTTTTTCGTTTATTGCTTTGTACATACATTAGTTGGTTTTCTTGTTTACATTTTACTTATTTCAGGGCATTTAATAGCTTTTCTTCTTGTATAATGTATGGGTTTTGCTCATTGTTGAAGCCTATTGGTAACCTATAGTTGCTTACATCTACATCAGTTTGTCTCTGATGGATAATTGTCTCATTGGAAATCATACCACATCTTCTTAATTTTATAATGATGTTCTGTAAGCTGCCATTACAGTTATGCAGGCTTTTCAAATGGTTAATGACGAAATCACCATGATGATAAAGAAATCTTTGTTCAATAATTTGACTTATAAGTTATCTTGTATGCATGAACTAACTTCATATATAGGCATAACAAGAGGTAATGCATGTCTTAAAAGGATCCCCATGATTAAAATATTCTAAATTAGCTTCAAAAATTTACCCTGGAGATGCTTTTGTTGCGGACTATCTAAAGGCCAGGGGCTCTTTTCACAAAAAACCTTACGACAATAATTGATCGTAAAGTTATACTGAAATGTTCATGACTTACACGTATTTTTTTCTCATGTAAGATTTTTTGTAAAATGAGTTGCAGAGCAGTGAACAGCTCCTGTAAGTGTGTAGACCTGTAATGCATAACTGAGTATAAGTGTGTAATCACCTATATGATATATTTTGAACAGTATACATGAATAAACCTTTACCTGATAAATTTTGTATGTTGTAAGGTGAGGAAGCCCCAGCTGGTCCAGGTATAAATACTGCATTTGGAACAGCTGTGTATTTTTTTCCAAATAGATAATGAAAACCTGGAATAAATCAAATAAACTTCATATGTACATGTACAAAATGTATACCAAATTCAACAATTATCCCATAACAAGAGGCTCCTAAGAGCATGAATTACTCTCCTGGTAAAAAATTGTTTTTCTTTTTTTCTTTTTTGACAGAAACGCAAAAAATGGATAATAATCATTGTTCAGGGGAAATAACTTCTAAAAGGAGTCTGTTGACAATTTTGGCCATGATTACTGATTATAGTTTGTACAAAAATGTGTGAGTCTTTAAAGCAAGGTGTGTGTTGCCTGTGCTATTAAAATTATATAAGCACAACTGCATAAAAAATCTGTGTAAATTTGGTTTAATTTTGTCGACCTGTTTAAGTAGTTTAGGATAAGAAAGAGTAATATGGACAAAAACAAAAATTATCCCTGGCATGACTTTAATTGAACTGTGAAACCATTAAAACAACACCAGTGATCAATGCAAAAAAAATCAATTAAGGATTAAAGGACAACACATAACAAATAATTACCCAAGCCAAAACAAGTTTTTTCATGTAATTAACATTCTCATCTGAAAATACCTCTAACTACATGTATATCTAACAGACCTCTGTTTTTGATGCTTGGATAATCATTGTTATTCTATTAACAGTAACATTGATCTGTTTTATAACGTAAAAATTGAAATTGGAACTCATATTCACTACAAGCAAAAAATAACACCAAATTTTATACACACGATCTAATTGCCAATACAAAATTCCTGAAAATAGGTACATGTAAAAAGAGTACAAATAGAGTATCTCTGTTTTAACACATTGAACCAGGATTATATTTATTTATATGCACATCTTCAGGTAGTATTCAGTTTTACCAATATCCATTTGGATGTTGAGGAGTTGCACTTATGAGTATATTACATGCTGCAACATTGAAGTAATTAAAATCAAATATCTCCCTTTTAACATGTAGCACTAGGATAAATTCATTTATTCAGATCCTCAGGTTGTGTGTAAAGTTTCTTAAACATCTGTCCAGCTCTTCAGGAGGAGTCTTGCTTTAATAGCACGTGGACAGAAAGAACACACCGATTCCGATGTACCATCAAAACTTAGTTCGCCAGTGTTATAATTGTCCTTTACTGTGGATTCATTTATTTTCGTGGTCACCATATTTCATGAATTGAATTCATTGAATTGATTTTGTGGTTTTGCCCTAGTTTGAATACAAGCTTACAGAAAATTTGGACTTCGTTGAACATTTAATATTTGTGGTTAACCTTTACCTATGAAATCTACCAAAATTGGTGTCCCACGAATAATAATGAATCCACAGTATCTGTCAACAAATTCAATAGTGTGAGTCAGGTAAATACAAACAAAACTTAACATCGACATAATCAGAACTTACCCAGAAGTGCAAGTAATGCTGTGGTAAATATCATGACATAATCAGGACTTACGCAGAAGTGCCAGTAATGCTGTGGTAAATATCATGACATAATCAGGACTTACCCAGAAGTGCCAGTAATGCTGTGGTAAATATCATGACATAATCAGGACTTACCCAGAAGTGCCAGTAATGCTGTGGTAAATATCATGAAGAACATAAACAGCCAGTATGGATAATTATTAAATAACTGTCTGATCAGAGTTGTCCAACCTCTATGTGCTCCATAATCATCTGTAAATAATCAAATAAATATTTATCTTCTATAAATAATTAGAAAATAAATGTGGATAGTGTCCACATGTGGACACAGATGATGCCCCCACTTGCATATCATATAGTTATAAAGGGACATAACTGAAGAACGGTAAAAGTGACGCTACCCAAATTTGAACTTGATCTGAGTTTTGTGGTAATAAGCATTGTGTGTAAGTCTCATAACATTTGGTTGAGGCTAACTTAAGTAGAGAACAGAAACTAAAAAATTCAGCAATTTTTCTATTTGTAAACATGCATAACTCTAGAACGGTTGTGTATAAGTTTTATAACATTTGGTTGAGACAAACTAAAGTTAGAGAACAGAAACGAAAAATTCAGCAATTTTTATGTTTATAAAGGGACATAACTCAAGAATGGTAAAAGTGTAACCACCAAATTTTGTACTTAATCTGTATTATGTAGTAAGGGCTATTCCATTAAAAAAAATGTACCAGGGTCGGACGGCAATTATAAAAAATCCTGTTGGTTGTTGATGTGTTGAAGTGTTTATGGCCAGTGGCCCTTGGTGTTTAGAGAAACGAAGTATTGTTGGTTGTTGGTGTTCTTTGACAGTCAGTTTTCATGACTGTCGGTTTCATCGTGTTATTTTTCGTTATTTATTATTAATTGTTTTTGCAAGGACTTATATAACCGATTGTTTCTGTCTCCTGCTCATATCGTGATATTTTGGAAAACATAACTGTTCCCGCCACTTACGCAGCGGCAGGCTCAACGTTGTATTCTACATGTACCTATGGTACCAGTTCCGGAAGTGCAAGAGTTACTTCCCTTTAATGACAAGCACATGACGAACGATGTCAAATTCTATTGAAAATAATATTCGGAGGTTCAAATTATCCGAGGTCCGCGACCTCCCACTATTGCAATCAGACTTTCGTTTTTGTTACTAGCTAGGCCTGACGGACCTTCGATTTGAAAGAAAATAAAAATTAACTTTGCCGACCTTTTTAGCCATCAGTATGGTCATTTTAAAGCCATATTACTATTGAGATCGTATAACCCTCCAGGGATTTTTTCTAGTATTCCACAGGGTCCAAATACCGGAACCATTCCTATTGGCAATGGCAAATACCCTACGTTTTTCCCAATTTTCAATTTGGGACCAAAACCTCCAAACGACCACAAAATTTTATTTTATCTTTATTATTCATGACAGTGATGCTGATTTTGTTCAACCGCTAGCTTTATACTGAAAATCGCCAACAAGTAATGTGTAAATAAGAGTAAAATCGTTTCTGACTAACAAAAACAATGAAAAACAATGGATGCCATAAACTGGAAATAAAGACGATTACAATACCGGATCAGATTCCGGGGTCGGATAAGGGTAATTCCGGGTTTGCCGATCAAATACAATAAAAAAAAAAAATAATTCTAGGCAGGTGACAAAATACATCTATGATGATGAAATATAAACACTAGAATTGAAAACCAAACGATATATGGAAAACGAAGAAAAAGCATGAAATATTTTATACAGAAACTCAAAATAACTTTTAGTTCAAAAATTTTCATGTCAAAATCCAATGAAATGTGACAGTAATTTTCTTTATCATTAATAAATGTTGATATTACATGTAGATGTTTTTATAGAGTATACATATATCTACAATTCCAAGAGGTAATTTCTTCTCAATTTTGAAGGGCCAGTAAAAAATAAGTTAGATATATTCCAGTTGGTTCTTGTATTATCATGAAACGACTTCCTGTTGGTTGGTGTTAAGATACATGGTACATTCCTCTTGGTCATGGGGGTACTTAAAAATTGCCTTCCGACCCTAGTACCTCCTTTTTAATGGAATAGCCCTAATAAGCATAGTGTATAAGTTTCATAACATTTGGTTGAGGCAAACTAAACTTAGAAAACAGCAACAAAAAATTTGTACTTGATCTTAGTTTTGTGGTAATGAATATTGTGTATAGGTTTCATAATGTTTAGTTGGGGCAAACTTAAGTTACAGAATGGAAACTAAAAATTTTGCAATCTTTCGATTTATAAAGGGGAATAACTCAATAATGATTAAAGTGACACTACCCAAATTCAACTTAATCTGTGTTTTATCGGTGGAAGTCAAAACTAAACATTGCATTGTATAAAGCATTTATTGTAGTTGATTCAACTATAATCATGGACAAAGGAAGATAACTCCAATTTTAAAAATTACTTGATATTTTGAAGAAAATAAAAATTTTGCAATTTTTCCATTTAAAAAGGGGCATAACTCTAGAACGGTTAAAGTGACGCCACCAAAATTCAAACTTGATCTGTGTTTTGTGGTAATAAGCATTGTGTATAGGTTTCATAACATTTGGTTGAGGCAAACTTAAGTAAGAGAACGGAAACGAAAAATTCAGCAACTTTTCCATTTATAAAGGGGCATAACTCTAGAACGGTTAAAGTGATGCACCAAAATTCAAACTTGATCTGTGTTTTGTGGTAATAAGCATTGGTTATAAGTTTCATAACATTTGGTTGAGGCAAACTCAAGTTAGAGAACGGAAACCAATTTTGGGACGTACGGACGGATGTACGTTCGTCCGTACAGACGGACAAGGGTAAAACTTAATGCCCCCACCGCTACGGCGGGGGCATAAAAATGTTTATCTTCTGTTTTTAGTTATCTGTCTAAATAGACATTTCCCTTTAATCCTGTTTTATTCAGATCAGAAAGAGGAAAATAGTGTTGAACACGAAAAAAACTCATCTTAAGAAATACTATGAATAACTAGTATACCAAAGAAACAAAACTTTTATTGTGATTTATCTTCTTGAGTGTTTAGAGAATGCCTCTAGCATTACAGTTCTTATGTTTTGTTGAATAAGGGCTATTCCAGGAAAAAAATTACAGGAAGGTTAGACACCACATAGTATTTTTTCTATGGGTAATAAGAGTGAACTTTAATCAAAGGTAGTTCCCCCTAAATCGTGGATCACATAACCATTATTTTGAACAAGATACTTTGTTTATCATATTATGACTTTACATCAATCCTTTTCAAATCGCAAGTTATGGACAAGCACACAGAGGTGAATATGGATGAAAAGATACTCAGATAGTTTCCTAATTTTTGTTGAGGTGAGCTTTCAATAATTATGTTATGATATTAGTCTTAGTGTGCATATTCTTCTTCTGTTTTCTTTTTTGAAAAAAAATCTTAATGTTTGTACTGGTAATGGGATTAAACAATACATTCAAATTGCACTTTGGTTGTAATTTAAATTACATGTGTAATAGTATACAATTACTGTCTTTTGATGAGGTAAATATGTGGTTTAATTGACTTTTGAAATACTGATATTCCGCATGTGAATATGCCGTTTTATTCAAAATCTGACTGTCATAAAAGTGGGAGGTTTAGCTAGCTATAAAACTAGAAAATGCCTGTACCAAGTTAGGAATATGGCAGTTGTTTTTTACTTGTTCTGTTGATTGATAGCGTTTGATTTTGTCAGTTTTTATATACATCCCCTTTTTGAATTTGCCTTGGAGTTCAGTATTTTTTTTTTTTTCAAATTGATAAAGAAAACCCTACTTAAGTTCTATCACAATGGAATAATCCTCCTTACAATTTTTTTAAAAGTTCATTACCTAAATATTCAGGCTTCTGTCCAATTAATCTTATGCTAACAGGAACCTTAACTTCTTGACCTGTCTTTGCACAAATCATATTTACTGACACATCAAGTGTTTCTCTGTCCCAAAGTGCAGCAGAGTCAAGCAATCTGATTGGATAAAGAACCGATTTAGACTGTGTGTCTTGTTCTGGTTTCAGAGATTCTAGTATTGCTGAATCACTAACCACTGCCTGCAAATAAACAAACATTCCTTAATATTCATCAAAAGTCTTTCAAAACATAAAAATCAATCCTACACTAATTAAAGAATTGTGTCCACATTATAAGCATGCATTATAGCTAAGTACATTGCTAGAATCAGCATATCAAAGAACCCCAAGAATTCAATTTTTGATGAAATACTTCTTAGTTAAACCATTTCTGTTCTAATGGAAATAACTTAAACTTTATTTCCATGAACTAATCATGTTAATCTAAAATTAAATATGATTTAACCATAGACTCTGAAATTAGATATGATGTAAAGAGATATAATGTTATATTTATTTTTAAATTATAATCAAATATAAATAATAGTTTTCTAATAAATCTGTCACTCCAATTATAATTGGGTGATTGCATTGAAAATTACCAGATGTGTGTTATCTTATCACTTAGTGTATAAATCAAAATCAAACTTTATATATATAGTTGATAGTTCCCAATATTTTTTCTTTCATCTGTAACATACTAATATAGATCTGCAACTTATCTTATCTTAATTTAAACTTTTTAACTTATAAATAATAGATTATTATCTAATGAATTTTCAAATCTGGAACCCCAAACAGGATCAAGTAAAAATTAAAATTAACAGACACAATAAAACAATTGTATACATATTTCACTCAGAAAATTAGTTTTTACAGAATAACAAACACACCATAAAATTCTTCAAAGAATTTACCAAAGAAAAGAAAAATTAATAATTAAAATCATGCTGGCAAATTGAAGGGTTATTTCCCCTTGAACAGAACTATGGTTTAACCTTTTAACAAATTACTCTAACATTATGTATATAATTATAAGTAATGTAATTAACTTCAAAATGTCTATCTCTTAAAAACCTATAAAACTTATCTGTAATTATCTTCAAAGTGTCTAATGAACAGTAAATTTCAACCTTCATTTATACAGTCCTACTAGTAAATTTCAAACTTTATATATACAGTCCTACAGATCTTATCAGGAAACAGAAAATTTTCAAATAAATCTGTCACTTCAATTATAATTGTGAGATAAGACTTTTACCATATGCTTTACCTTAGTCATAATATGATAATAAGAGAGAAAAATATTTAAAAATACCAATTTTGGATATTAAAAATGGCGATAACTCAAAAAGGAGAAATACTAAAATCTTGAAAATTGAACTCAACCTTCATTAAGTCCCAGGAAACAACATATTTAAATTTGAAAAAAAATTGTCAAAGCGTATTCATGTTATTGTGGAGACACTGTTTGGCAGCAGCCCGTCCGTCCGCAGGCCTGCCGTACATCCTCAATTTAATAACCGATATTTCCTTCGTAAATCCGGTTAAAAAGTGTTTTACAGTATAATCAGAATGAATGGTTATCTATAACATTGATTTTTCAATGTGAAACATAACTACAGTTGTTCAATCAGGAAATATAGGCTATGCTGATTCAAATGTTGATGAACTGTTCTCTTTTATACAATAATGACACTTGCTATATACATGTATATGTAGTTTTATGGTGGTATTTAATTGGTGGAAGAGACCAGTGCCAGGGTGAAACGTCAACATTGACCACAGGTTTTTGAAATATGAACCTAAATGCTTACTAACTTAACCAAAGTCACTGAAGTGTAAAATACTATATAAGCTGTGCTTCATCATATGAGCTGCGTCCGTTAGAAATCGACCTTTAATATGCAAGTGTACATTAATAAGACTTTGATTGATTTTGGAACATTCAAAATACAAAACAAAAGATGAATTTTTGTCTGTTTCGTAGATTTTCTTATAACAGCTTAATTTTCCCCCAGTTACAGACTGTTCATAGAGATTTTTTCAACCCAAAATAGGTTACCAGATGTTTTGATATTCATATGCATAAGGTCTATTTGACGCAGCACATATTATAATACTGTAGTAATAAAATGGTGATATATCAATGGTGATTTGTTAATCTATATGCCTAAACCATATCTGTGGCGAGACAAAAACCACCAGTGTTTTATTGTATTTTGTATTTTATTACCTTGATATTTCCTGCTAATGCAGGTATAGTTGATATTTTGATAGAATACACTGCTGCTACTGTAGACAGATGAATCTCTGAAGTTTGTACAAAGAATGCTGGATAAATTTCAAATTGTTTGGATTCAGAAATGACTTCCGACTGACCGTCCTGGAAGGGAATTCTAACAAGCAGACGAATATTTGAAGTCATTGTACTGATTTGCTGTGACATCTTGTCCGCTTCTTGTTTGTTGAGCTGGCAGCCATATTGTCCTAGAAGGAAGATAGAACTAAAGTTAACCCAAAAATTGAGAACAAAATTTCTTAAATAACAAAATATTAGTATATGTGTAACCCTTTTTGAGGAATTCCTTAATCATTTTTTAAATGTTTTTAGATGTTTGTGATATTTATTTCAATAATTATAAATTTTTGTTAGTTTTAGTCCTAATCTAAATTCAAGGAGATTACCAGTGCCATTCAATTAAAATTGATTTCAGAGGGAAGGAAACGATCTATCCCACTACCATCCAGCCCAACATGCTTTCTTTCAGTTATTTTGCATACAGTAAATGAACAAACAATCACAAGTGACCCATAACCCATGGTCGACAACCAAAATTTTACTTCCTATTCCTTATACAGAATGTGGCAGGATGAAACATGTTAGCGGGCACAAAAATATTTTTGATAATCTTCTATTCAATTTATTATATCTCACCAGTTTTACTGTCAAATATGCTGAAGACAGAGAAGAGGTCATCAATGGATATTTCACTTCCTGGTTCGGTCAGGCTAAGTTGACAGTTGAATGGAATGGAATCAGGATGAAAGTCTTCTTCCAACACTTTGCTATAACAATTATCATCTATGAATAGAAGATAGCATCTATATAAACATTGAACTCATGTTATCACAGAATGAAAGAACCTTTAGTGAGCACGCTCACATACCAAATGCCCCTACATAGTTAACATGGGATATTTTTTAATGTCACCCTCCTAAGACAATGCAAGACAAATAGCTAACAAATAAACTTTGTGTTACAGCAATAAATAATGAGTGAATACTATAAATATATAATTAAGTGAAAACTATAAATATACAATCAAGGAGAAAATATCTTTGTATACACCAGTTTTATGTATGTGCGAGGCAATTTCCCAGAGAATGGGTGAACACAAACCATCTGCTCTTTAAAGTTTTTTAAAGAAAGTTTTGGGGATCTTTCTCTCATTTTAAATATTTGCCCCAAGTATTAATATCATACCTTGGAGTCCATTCCCTAGTCTGACTGGTACAAAATATCCACTTGATCTTCCCTTTACATTGGTCAGGAAGGTTAAAGGTGTGTCAAATGTTACGGATTTAATTGGGTCTATTGTTACCTGTAATAAATTATTTCTACAGTTGCATCACATGGTAATAAAAATACATCTACACTCTAAAATTATGCTGATTAACAATTAGGAACCACATATATCTTTACAAGAAAGGGCAATTTATACGAAATGTTTAATTCTAACTAGAAGCTTCTTAAATTGAAATGAGTAGGAATTCGTCATTAGTCATTTTCTACTTTCAGGATTTTGAAAAAAAACATAGGTGACTTTTTAATATTCATTTATGTTAAACACTATTTCAAACTATTGGCTTAGAAATAAGATTTTTTTCTATCAAGAAAAAAAACTCATTTCAGGTAATTTTTTATGAAAATAAGGAAAGTTTTTGGAAAATAAAATTGTTAACAATAGATAATATATAGGATTTTTAAGGAATATTTATCACTTCAATCTGTTGGCTTATCAGCACAAAATTGACAACGGATTTAGTGAAATCAAAAGAATGAAAATCAATTTTCCGTGTGGCTTTACCAATATAAGACATTCTGACATTTACAGTGTTTTTCATTTTATGGAAGTAAATGTAACTGACCTCTGTATAAGTAGTTATACCACTAGATATTTCATATGTGATCAATGATGATCCAACTTTAGTGGCCACTGCAATACCGCTATCACTGGTGATCTTGACATTGTTGTTGTTATTCTGCCATACACCATTATAACCTGTTTTAAAAAGCACATGTAAATAAATGTATTAAAACAAAAAGAGTATGATAGATTTACAAAAGTACCAATTACAAATGTGACAATATTTTACTATTATAGGGGTCAAGGTGAGAGTTACCTGACTTTGATATATATAACACACCCTCATGCATCAGCATCATGATGCATACCAAGTTTGGTCAACCTAAGTGCTACAGCACAAACGCGATGCATAGGGTACAAATCAGACAAGGTTTTACTATCATAGGGGTCAAAGGTCAAAGTCAAGGTCAGAGTGACCTGACTTTGGTATATGACACATCCCAGCCTATGATGCAACTGCATACCAAGTTTGGTAAACCTAAGTGTAATGGTACAAAAGTAAAAGAGCCAGGACTGCTTTTAGTATTTGACACCCTCTAGCCCATGATGCATCTGCAGAGTTATGCAACAGGCTCAAAGAGGGATGGACTGACAGACAAGGTGATTCTTATATATCTGCCAGGGGATATTATGGCCACACTATATGGATTTACATTATAATTCAGCTCTTAACAATGCAAAAGGTATCATTATTTACATATAATAGTAACATTAGTCTTGATCAGCACTAAAAGTTTGCCAAGTAACATTCTTCCCCACCTGACTCTACAAAAGCAGGGCGGATATTTGGGAAAGAAAATATTGAAAATAGACTAAAACAGTCACATAAATGCTCAATAATCCTTATTTTTGGTGTTCAATTCTGTATAAAGAAAATCCTGTACTAATAACTAGTTTTACCTGATTCTGTAACTAGTGATGAAGTGTAACACACAATCTGTCCTAAGAATACTGCATGACTGTTTGGTGCAATGGCATAATCTACATCAATATTTATATAATCTGCTATCCAGGGGCTGTGTTTGTCCCAAACCTACAATAAAACATCAATGTTTATATAATCTGCTATCCAGGGGCTGTGTTTGTCCCAAACCTACAATAAAACATCAATGTTTATATAATCTGCTATCCAGGGGCTGTGTTTGTCCCAAACCTACAATTAAACACCAATAAAAACTAATAATTTATTTGCAATTCCTAAATTGGGTTCAAATTTCTCGTTGTAATATGCTCTGAATTAATATACAAACAATAACAGTTATATGTACAAAAAGTTCTATATTGGAAACTGGATTAATCTTTTTTCTTTTAATACTAAATACTGATAGAATTCCTGTTTTATATTCAATTTTACCATGAATATACCTTCACCAGCTACCATAAATTATTACTAGATGGCTTTTATAGCTAAATGCATACTTAACTTTGGAATTCTATAAATAAGGTATCCTAAAGTAAGGAAAATACAACTTAAACAAAAACATATGAGGCTTTTTACAAAGAAAAAGGAAGTTATTATTGCCATTTTCTCACTCATATGCCACATAACCTTTCTTTATCAGCTATTTACAGTTTAACTTTACCTTGAGAACAGTTTGTCCCACTTCAGCAGCCTTCATTACCAATGTATTGTTATCAGATCCATGTCCAATTTGTACCAGATCATATCTAAAATCGTTCAAAATTCAATTAGTTTTTTTTATCATGACAGTACTATCATCAAATGAAAACTGTGTAGAAGATAATGTTATTGTCAGTAAGCTTTTCTGTCTATCTTCCTTTTTTGATGTAATGCACAGTTACAGAAAAAATACCAAAAAAAACATGTATGAATTAGGAAGTCTTTAAAAAAAATCTGGCTTCATTTTCAATGATAAATGTTGAGTAAGTGCCAATGATAAAGCAACCTGATAACTATATTTAACCAACATAGTAACGAGGAGGTCACATGCATGTTGTAAAGTGTGGACAAACTATCACACTGTAGGACAAACTCTAATTCATCTTAACCAAACCTGGCACCTCCAAACATGTTTAACCCCAACTCATTCTATATGTGCCTGTTCAAAGTCAGAGGCCTGTAGTTCAGTGGTTGTTGTTATAAATTAATCTGTTAGTTTTCTAAATTGAATTTGTTTCATATTTTTCATGTTGGGGCCTTTTATAGCCAACTATACGGCATGGGTTTTTCTCATTGTTAAAGGCTGTATTGTTGCCTATAATTGCTTACATCCACTTCATTTGAACTTTGGTAGATAGTTGTCTCATTGGCAATCATACTACATCTCCTTATTTTTATATAAGTCTATATTAGTTGTTGATAAATTTAGCAGACAACCAAAAACCAGTAAAAAAAAATAAAGACATAAATTTATGAATAAATGTATACAGGAGATGGATAAAACTTCAATATAAAAAATGAGTAAACGAAAATTAATCTATTCAAAATCTTCTATTGTGTCATTTTTACTAATTTCAGAATTTTATGATCTCTCTGCATTGTTTTAAATTTGAAATAATTCACCTGTTCAATCTATAATACATCTTAACATTGGTTGCAAAAAATTCCTCTCCAACATCGTCATGGTAACTGACGGACAACTGCAAAGTAACACCAACTGGAATTTTCTTCAGTTGACCACTGTTTGTCCTCAGTGCAGTTTCAGAGTTTATCATCATGTATGCAACAGTCTTAACCTAAAAGTGTGGGAATTTTTCAATTCATTTTCTAAACAAAAACAATGGTTAGGTTTTAATAAAAACAATGGTCAATAAAACGCTGCCAAAAAAACCCATTTCCCACAGCATGTTCAAAAGGTAATGATCAGCCTTATGTATTTACTAAAAATGGAAATCAAATGTCAGAAAGATTACACATTATGTAAAGAATAGCTAAACAGCATTCATATTTTCTCGGTGTAAGCTGCTTCTTTTTCCTCCCTACAGAAACAACACATTAAATTTATTCAGTATAATATCCCAGTGGAACCTCTGTATACCTTCAGGTAAATTTTCAGCTCTTAAATTCATCTAAATAAGCAGTATCTGGCTAACGAAAAACAAACCAAAACATATGCTTTGACAGTACTGTGCATGATATGGGATATTACCATTACCTTTATTAGCAGTAAAACATCTGCTTTGACAGTACTGTTCATGATATGGAATATTACCATTACCTTTATTAGCAGTAAAACAGTCTGGTTTGTTCCAAAATCTTCAAATGCTGTAATTTGTAGATGTGCTTCCCCACAGGAGGCGCCACTTGTGATGACTCCTCCATCTTTGACAGTGATGATGGCCTTGTCTGAATTAGAAGACAGTACCTGGTAACTCATTCTGGCAGATCCGTCTCTATAAATAATAAAGTTATATATAGGTACAAAGTGAAAACCTGGTAAAAATACAAATACAACAAGATGTACCGCAAGCTATTGTTAACTAATTATATCCTCGCATATATCAAGAAGGAATGATTGCTGTTGTTGATAAAAATGTTCAAAAATTTAAATGCAAGATATTTCAATGTTATTAACTGTCATGAAAGAGGAAATAGAACATTGAACACACTGAAAATGTGTAACATAGTATTAAGTTTTAACTTGATGTGATCACAACTTTTTGAAAAACTACCTTATCCAAAAACTGTAACTGATATGGAATGGAGGGAATGACTAATGAAACAATGAACAGTTCAGAAAACATAATGCTATTGTAGGCAGGGCATAATAAATTGCAAAAATTAATATTATATGTAAAATCTGCATACATTTCATCTATTTCTGCTGTATGGAAAACAGTAGCATAATATGTAATAAATTTTTGGTTTGACATATAAAATGTTTTATACCTGTTTGTTTTAACAGTAGCCTCACTGTTGGGTGATATCAGTAGTTTTCCATCACAAATCTTTGGACTTAACACTTCCATTTTCTGGTAAACCTGTAATTAGACAAATTCATTGTAACAGCATATTTCAATGATTTATATGTTTGCCAAATGAAAAAAAGTGTAACAGAGTTTTTTGTCGGACCAACAACTGACAGGGTTCAAACTTTAAACACAAATAATTTCTTTTGCAATCCTTTTCAATATTTGCTTGCTCCTACAGAATAAATCAATAATCATGATGACCGTTCTAGAAATGAATTTCTACATAAACACTGTAGAAAATACCTGTATTTGAAGTTCATCTGTTAACTCAGCTTGCTTAAGTATCTGCGATCTGGAATTCCTCTGAGGTCTGACTGTTAACTTGACCGTTACTTGTCCAGGTGATTTGGCAAACAACTGAGTAGCAAAGTTACTTTCATCCACGGGTTTAATATTACTCTGTAAATATAATTTATACAGTAGATCACAAGTCAACAAATCCTTTTATTTTAAAGGAGAAAGTATGATATGGCCCTTGAAGTTTAAAATCATGAAGTGTTATCAATATATCAAAAAAATCCTTCTTATTTTCACACAAAACATTATTATGTCAGATATCAGTGACAATATGTTTCGATTTTATTTTACATATTCAAACTTATTGCAGTTATAGAAAAAAAGTGAAAAAAATGCCATAAGGACCTACAGGTCAAAGATTCCACTTTATATTTACATATGAAAAACAGCCCAACCTTAAAAATATTTTGCCACAAGATGGTTCAAACTAAGATGTTGATGAAATATGTTTTTAGATAAATACTATTGCTCATATTTATATTAACATAAAGTATATGTAAAATGGCCAGTTTGTCAAGTTTTTCAATTGTGACATGATTTTTGATTTCATGGTGTCACTTCAACATTAAAATGACCAATCTATTCATTCATCAAACTTTAAAAAAATTATTTGAAGGATTTAATTTAATTTAAGGAGGCCACATAATTTCATTTATCATATTCCCTTTTCTAATAACAATAGCCATTAGTACCTTTAATTTAAGATTGCAAATGGTCAAATAGATCATATTTATCTGGACATATGTATTTTTCTATTCTAAAAACTCAATCCACCTTGTATGATAAGATAATATTATTGAAATGAACATATAAGAAAATGTTATAGCATCAATAACATATAAATAGTAAGCTCCAGTAAATGAATGAAAACAGAAAGCAAAAATATAATGCATATTATACATGACAAATTAAGTAATCAATTGTGACCTTAAATTCTCATCTTCAATTAATAAATGACAAAGTTTCAACAAACATCTTGAACTAGTTTGAATAAGTGATACAAATTGTGACATATTAGGCAAGGAACAACAAGTTGAACTGTAAGCTCCCTATAAGTATTGAGTAAACTGGAAGTTGATGAGTAATGGATGGGAAAATGCATCACACAGTACAGCATGCATATGAAGCCTCATACCAAATAACAGGATGCTATGGTCCATAGTTTCTGACAAAAATGTGATGAAAACTTCATAAATAGGTCATTTTTTGTAAGAATATATAAAGAAATTGATTAGTGATGAATCTGAAAATGCACCACACAGTATAGCATGCTCAAATGAAGCTTTAAACTAAATTTCAAGAAGCTCTTATTTGTATTTCCTGAGGAAAAATGTGACAATAATTTTATGGGCTGATAGATGGATGTAAAAACCAGTATACCCTCTGTCCTTTTGGAAAGTGGGTATAAAAATGATAAGCAAAATCTTAAATGTAAATATCTATAAGCTGGATAGATAACAAAATGATATTCATTTTCAATGGAGTTCAAATTGCAAACTTGACATAGCCTTTCATAATTCAGTGTTCTCCCCAGGTCCTTTTAGCATTATGGTAATGTGATGCTATCTCAATTGGTTTTCTTATAGATTATGTTATGGATGTGGTGCTATAATTTTTAGAAACAAGATGGTATTTCAAATTTCCCTGTTTACCAGGATGCTAAATGAAATATCTGGGGAGAACACTGCTTTCATTAAGAGGTACGTTATGAAATCTTCCAATTTCAATGTTAGTTTTACTGAAGCACACCGAGTTGTGCTTTAAGTTTAAGCAAATATTTTTCCAAACAAACTTCAATTAAATTTTTTTTTAAGAAATCTTATTTTTCACATTCTAATATGCTAGAACACCAGTCTTGGTTGAACTGGTCATAAAAACATCATTTCAAAACATAACATGAAAAATTTGTAAGGGTTCCACGGAACCCAGTGTCTTGCCTACTTTTGCTGTTAGTCGCAGGCTCAACAAATATGGGGAAATAATTATTAAAAATTTTCCTCTAGATACTATCTTTTGAATGTAAGAAGCTTCTGTTCAAGTTTGGTAAGAATCCATGATGGTTTATGAATCTAATAAATGTTTTAAAAACTTTAACTGCAGACTGTATGTAATGCTAACTGGAAGAAAAACTAAGTCCAATTATAAGTAATATACGGAAAAACAGGAAATTTTTGTTTACAAAATTTCCTTCTAGTTACTACTACTAGCTTTTGATCATAAACAAGCTTCTGTCAAAGTTTGTAAAAAATCCAGGATAGTTTAAGAAAGTTATTAAAATTTTGAAAACTTTAACCACAGAGTGAATGTTATGTTAATTGGCAGAAAAACTAAGTCCATTTATAAGTAAAATATGGATAAACAGGATTTTTTTTTTTAACAAAATTTACTTTTGAATACTATCTTATGATCATAAAAAAGCTTCTGTCCAAGTATAGTACAAATCCAGGATAGTTTAAGAAAGTTATCAAAATTTGAAAAACTTTAACCACAGAGTGAATGTAATGTTAACTGCCAGAAAAACTAAGTCCATTTATGAGTAAAATACAGATAAACAGGATTTTTTTTTTTTACAAAATTTACTTCTGGATACTATCTTATGATCATAAACAAGCTTCCGTCCAAGTTTGGTAGAAATCAAGGGTAGTTTAAGAAAGTTATTAAAATTTGAAAAACTTTAACCACAGAGTGAATATTTGTGGACGCCGTCGCCGACGGAATGTAGGATCGCTATGTCTCACTTTTGCGACAAAAGTCACACTCTCTTGATTATACCAATACCGATGCTAGCTAGTGCTTTATTACCTTGTTCGGATAATCGCTTTTACATTTGGTGAAATTTTCCATTGTAGTGAAACACTTTTCCTAGCAGATAAACAAAGGTTTCACAACATTATTGGCTGTAATGCCAACTTAACTGCTTGTCATCCATTATGAAACTACAACTTTTTCAGTTTTATCTTTGTTCATTTCAATGTTCTATTTTGAACAATATATATAGTTTATCAATAACCTCTGTAGTAATGCTGGTGTTTAAATCTAAGGAATAAAACTGCATTCAAAAAGTAGCAAGCATATTTAAATGCAATTTATACATGTATTAGCAAATCCATTGTTGTTGTTTGTTTCAGGCTCCACAGCAATGTCATTATTAAACAAGTAAAAAGGTGTCGAGAGATACTCCCTGAACTGCACATTAATTAAAAGAAAACTTTCTTTAATTTTGAGGGTTCAAATATGCTTGGAGGTACTAATGAACTTGCACTAGTATTGCTAATTTTTCACCTGTATAAATGTGTTACAATTCATAATGGGATACCCTCCCCAAACCATTTTTAAAAAAATCATTTTAGTAACAGTGACCTTAACCCCATTATCAATAGGCTTCTTTCCCTTTCCCTATATCTTCCAGGTATAAATTTCATTCCAATCAAGCAAGGGGAACTCAAGTTAACATCTGGAAACCATTTTCCAATTTTATTCTATTTTACTAACAGTGACCTCAATCTTTGACCTTTTAACCCTAAAAGCAAAAGGCTTCTTCCCATCTCTTTATCTTCCATATGTATAAGTTTCATTTAATCAAACAAGGGATATTCTAGTTATCATCGGAAAACCATTTGTTTCAAACAAGGACAAACAGACAAAGCAACTACTATATGCTCCAGAAATATTTTCAAGGAGCATAAAAATAAAAATTCGTAAGGGTTCCGCGGAACCCAGTGTCTCGCCTACTTCTGCTGTTAATCACAGGCTCAACAAAAATGAGGAAAAAAATTAATAAAAATATTCCTCTCTATACTATCTTTTGATTGTAAGTAGCTTCTGTCCAAGTTTGGTAAAAATCCAGGATAGTTTATGAATCTAATAAATGTTTTAAAATAAAAACTTAAACTGCAGACTGTTATGTAATGTTAACTGGAAGAAAAACTAAGTCCATTTATAAGTAAAATACGGAGAAAATGGAACAAAATTTTAACAAAATTTCCTTTTAGATACTAGCTTTTAATCATAAACAAGCTTCTGTCTAAGTTTGGTACATATCCAGGATAGTTTAAGAAAGTTGTTAAAATTTTAAAAACTTTAACCACAGAGTGAATGTAATGTTAACTGGCAGAAAAACTAAGTCCATTTATAAGTAAAATATGAAAAAAATGGAATTCTTTTTTTTACAAAATTTACTTCTGGATACTATCTTATGATCACAAACAAGCTTCTTTCCAAGTTTGGTACAAATCCAGGATAGTTTAAGAAAGTTATTAAAATTTCAAAAACTTTAACCACAGAGTGAATGTAATGTTTCCTGGCAGAAAAACTAAGTCCATTTATAAGTAAAATACGGTAAAAATGGAATTTTTTTTTTACAAAATTTACTTTTGAATATTATCTTATGATCATAAACAAGCTTCTGTCCAAGTTTGGTAGAAATCCAGGGTAGTTTAAGAAAGTTATTAAAATTTCAAAAACTTTAACCACAGAGTGAATATTTGTGGACGCCGCCGAAGACGCCGACGGAATGTAGGATCGCTATGTCTCGCTTTTTCGACAAAAGTCGAAGGCTCGACAAAAATGAAAGGGGGTGATAAAGGTTCTCCTTGTTTATCTCCATTGACATTTACAAATGTGTCAGAATATACTCCATCAGAATTCACACGAAGGTGCATAAATCAATTTTATCATATTTATCGCTTTGCTGCTTATACCAGAATTGAAAAGCATATACCACAATATTCTTGTCTACATTATCAAATGTTTTTTTTAACAGAAGTAAACAAATGCACAGAACCATTTTTCTTTTCCTTATAAAAGTAAAGGAAATAATTTCTATGAAGCACAAAAATAGTATTTATAGTTGATTAATATGTTCGAAATTCAAATTGATTTGCTGATAATTTTTCCTGGTCTAAAGTCAATGTTCTTAATCAATTGTTCAAAATAGAAGTGAAAAGTTTGGAAAATATAATAACAAGTACAATTGGTCTAAATTCATTGTCATATTTTTTCTGCACAAATTTATAATAATAACTAGGTCTGTAGGTAAATATACTAACCTTATGGAAGACATTATTTAGGATGACAACATTTTTGTTGTTCACAGACCAAGTAAAGGACAATGGAGGTCTGGCTGCACCAAATGTAAATGGCGTCTCCTGGTCAGTCTGTCCCACAGCATACATTGGCATCTATAATGAGAATGTACTCTATTACTACAATTTATGTAATTAAAAGCCAGTTATGCTCAGTTTAGATACAAAAATTGTAAAACACTAAACTGATAATTGCAGGAATTGCAATAAAAATAATTACATCAGCAATTTCTTTTTTTTTTGTTTGTAGTATGAAAATGTCCTGAATAGTTATTCATTTGTTTGTTTGGCAACTGTATTTATATGAAATTCAATGCTATTTACATGGAATACATAGTTTATATATAATCTTCTCATCAGCATAATAATATCATTGGTTATCAGTTATCATATTTTTAGAAATTTTGAATAAATTTTGAAATTTTCATTCAATGGTTGACACCGATATGAATGTTTAACCAGATTAGCAGTCTTTAAGCATTTGATTGACACAATTAATAACTAAATGGCTGTTATTTAACATCCAGTAGCAAATGTTTCATACACATTAAGGACAATCTTCCTCTTAGAAATAGGAAATGTAATTTAAAAAAGAAATATGTGTTCATTATTTATGTTTTACACCAACATTCCAACTGGAATACAGGTGCAAAACATGATCCAGTGTCATCACCAAAATATTTTATTTTATTCTAATGCTGTTAAAGCTTCTACATACATAGTTTTCACACAGTGCAACTTGAACATGAATGTCTTACAAAATAATTACTTTTGCAACCAATCAGAACACAATTTGAGAGCATATTAGTATTAAGCATAATTGTAAATTGCCAAACATTTACTTTAAGGACTTCTCTTTTTCTCTTTTATCTGTACACCCATCTTAATTCTGACAGTAATTGTCTTTAGAATTTTCTTTATTTTTAATTTTTTATTCCCCTTTAAATATACTTTGTATTTTCTTCCCATTATTCAAACCCTTTCTTTGTTCTTTTTGTTCTTAAGGTATAGAACCACTAATTTGGGCAGGGTCAGGAAGAATATATTAGGAAGTAGTGCATATCTCAAAACAAATCAGTTCCTAACCATAGCTGTTTCTTTTAAAATGTGTGAAATATTTGGGTAATTTGGGTATAAAATGATATCAAGGACCTGGGATCACTGTTGAGCCCTTGTTGAATGCTTTTGAATGTTTTGAATTATAAAAAAAATATGCATTTATTTGCACCTGTCCTAAGTCAGGAATCTGATGTTCAGTAGTTGTCGTTTTTTGATGTGGTTCATAAGTGTTTCTCGTTTTTTATATAGATTAGACCGTTGGTTTTCCCGTTTGAATGGTTTTACACTAGTAATTTTTGGGGCCCTTTATAGCTTGCTGTTCGGTGTGAGCCAAGGCTCCGTGTTGAAGACCGTACTTTGACCTATAATGGTTTACTTTTATAAATTTTGACTTGGATGGAGAGTTGTCTCATTGGCACTCATACCACATCTTCTTATATCTAATTACCAGTATGTTTAATTTTTTAACACAAGCCAGGCTATAAGTATTGTTTAAACATGAAATGACTGTTGAACATATACACAAGACAAGATGGTTATGAATGCTGAAAATAGCAGAATTTAACATAGAAGTAATGAGGCCATGAACTAGTAGTTTTATACCTTAAAACATAAAATACATCACTTCACAATTAGTGAGGAACATTGTTTAAAGTGTAAATCAACTTTAAACTAGGTACTTTTCTCTCTCTCCAGTGTCAATTTTCCATAGGAATATTGTTTTAAGTGTGTGTATATAATTTTAAACACCTTTTATGTACAAACTTTTCTCTCTCTCTCCACTGTCTATTTACTAAAGGAATATAACACCTTTAGGTTAATGCTTTACATGCAAATATGATATATTTTTTTTAATCATAGGGACCAAAATATACATTTGATGCTACTGGTCTAAAGTTTGAGGCTATATATAATTTTCTATATAAACCAATTCCTATACAATTGCATTGCAGTATTGCAAAGAAAAGATCAAATATAGTACGCTAGTCATACACATGCTGATATATGGTCATAGAAAATTCAATGATATTATATCTTGTCAAAGACTTATTTTAAATTCAGTTCTGGTTTTATTTCATTACTTCAAATTACCAAAATATTTGCCCATGACTATCACTATACATCTTTTTTCCTTGTACATACCACACCTTCTAGGAGTGGTGAATAATTAGGCCAAGTTTCATTAATTAACTCCAAGGGGTTTGAAAGATACTGAGCAGAAATGTTTGTCTTACATGTGCACAGTGGGTCACAAAGTTTTTGAACATGACTTTCAATATTGTATGGTTTTCTCACTTAAACCCAACACACTTTCAAGTAGTGAATAATCATGCCAAGTTTCATAACCAAACTGAACAGGGTTTTAAAATCAGGGAGTGGAAACAAATTCTGATGGAATGACATACACACAAGTTGATAGGCCATCCACTTATCAATCGACAGAGCCCTAATTAATATGAGTCTGATTTTTGCATATTGATTAATGGCAGATTCAGTTTTTTATTCATTACATTTTTACAAACAGTTTTATCTACAACACTACAAAACTTTGCCAAGATGTTTCAATAAGCAACATTTTCCTTAAAACTTGACACACACAATACTAAATTAACAAGAGTGAGGTGAACTTATCACAAATAACCCTGCCTGTTGCACTATCAGAAATTTCACAGATGGAAGGTCATGACTCTATAGCAGTACAGATTAAGTCAAAACTCTGGCCAATTTAATGTCCATGACATAGTGTAATAGTTTCAAATAGTTCAGAGAAGTTGTATGTTATTAACAAATGGAATAAAATGCTCCGCAGGGCGCAGCTTGATACGACCGCAGAGGTCGAACCCTGAACAGTTGGGGCAAGTATGGACACAACATTCAAGCTTGATACAGCTCTGAATTTGGATTGTGATTAAATATTTGACACAGCATAGGTTTCTGACACAGAATGAATGTGGTCTAAGAACTTAAAAATTTTAAATTGGACATTCACCTATTATGGTCCAATATCCAAAATCTAAATACATGGTTAGATTCAGCATATCAAAGAACCCCAAGAATTCAATTTTTGATGAAATCAAACAAAGTTTAATTTTGGACCCTTTTGACCTCAATGTGGACAAAGTTGATAACGGGGCCCAAAAATCAAAAATCTAAATACATGGTTAGATTCAGCATATCAAAGAACCCCATATATTCAATTTTTGTTGAAATCAAACAAAGTTTAATTTTGGAACCCGATTTGGACCAACTTGAAAACTGGGCCCATAATAAAAAATCTAAATACATGTTTAGATTCAGCATATCAAAGAACCCTAAAAATTCAATTTTTGTTAAAATCAAACTAAGTTTAATTTTGGACCCTTTGGACCTTAATGTAGACCAATTTGAAAACGGAACCAAAAATTAAGAATCTAAATACACAGTTAGATTCGGCATATCAAAGAACCCCAATAATTCAATTTTTGATGAAATCAAACAAAGTTAAATTTTGGACCCTTTGGACCTCAATGTGGACCAATTTAAAAATGGGGCCCAAATTCCAAAAACTTAATACACGGTTAGATTCAGCATATTAAAGAACCCCAAGAATTCAAGAATAAAACCCCATTGAAATTGATCAAGAAATAAGCAATTTATAAGAAGTATCTTCTTTTGCACAATACTGTGCAATTGAATATTTCTTGCTATTGCACAATACTGTACAATTGACAATTTCTTGCTATTGCGCAATATTGTGCTATTGGATATTTCTTGCTATTGCGCAATACTGTGCAATTGAAGATTTCTTACTATTGCGCAATACTGTGCAATTGAAGATTTCTTGCTATTGTGCAATACTGTGCAATTGAAAATTTCTTGCTATTGCACAATACTTATTATATAATAATTTACACATCCTGTTTGGTGTGTATCTCCTACCATATCATTATTATTTGCTTTTAAATATTAATCAGAAATAACCAACTTAAAATGGAAAATTTTAAAAGAAAAAAAAAAGGAAAAAAAAAAAAAAAAAGAAAAACAAAAAATCCCCCCTCCCAAATTTTTTGAACCCCCTTATGATTCATCACCCCCAAACTCAATACCAGCCTTCCCTTTGTGGTATGGTACCTTGCAGAGAGATCCATACACTTGAACACAAGTTATTGTCTGGAAACTAGAAAAATGTTTATTTTTGGCCCCTTTTTGGCCCCCAATTCCTAAACGTTTCGGGCAATTACCCCCAAACTCAATTCCAGCTTTCCTTTTGTTTGTGATATGGAACCTTGTAGTACAATTTCAGAAATATCCAAACACTTACACACAAGTTATTGTCATGAAACTAGAAAAATGCTTGTTTTTTGCCCCTTTTTTGGCCCCTAATTCCTAAAATTTTGAGGCAATTACCCCCAAAATCAATTACAGCCTTCCCTTTGTGATATGGAACCTTGTGGTACAATGTCAGAGAGATCCATACACTTACACACAAGTTATTGTCTGGAAGTTACAAAAATGCTTATTTTTGGCCCCTTTTTGGCCCCTAATTCCTTAACTGTTGGTACCATAACCCCCAAAATCAATCCCAACCTTCCTTTCGTGGTATTGAACCTTATGGTAAAATTTCATGGAGATCCATTCACTTAAACTAAAGTTAGAGTGCGAAAACCAATGTGTCTTCGGACGACGCCAGACGACGACGACGACGCCAACGTCATACCAATATACGACCAAAAAATTTTTAATTTTTGCTGTCGTATAAAAAAATTGGTTAAGTATAAACAAATGGACTGACACAATGACCTTTGACTCCTACAGGCAGGGGTATAAACATAGAAACAAAGCAAGTAATTATAACTCTACAATTAGAAGCACTCCATACCTTAACATGTAAAATGATCTAGTAATAAAAATAAATCAAGTGGCAATTTAAAACACTAAAAAAACAAAACAATATTATCCATCTTAACATGCTGAATTATTTTCAGAAAATGTCTTAATTTTCCTTTATTTGAAAAAGTAACAAATCTGGTGCAAAAAACATCACTTCATCTTGACCTGCTTTTTAATTACTTCAGCAAAAATTCAGACATTGATAGTCAGCTTTCCTATTGTACATACACAATCTAAACAATGCAATTCATTTTTAATTAATTATTTTGGAAGATTTATGGAACTCTGATGGACTATACTGAATGTAAAATACTGGGTATCAACTAAAATAATTTGAATGCCATGAAGAGAAGATTCTGTTTACAAAACATACCTCTGAAATAACATGAAAAAAATTTTAAAAAAAATATCTGAAAATATCTTCACTGACAACAAGTATTTTAATGGACTACAGGTTTCATTGAGCATATATCATTCACCTGGCTAAAAAATAACACATAATTAGCATGTCTTGTAAAATGGAATATTCCTGAAAATTCAGATAAAATACTCTTGTTCTTGTATTGATGTTTGAATTAAGGGCATACGATACAGTAGAGATCCCTCGTTGATTTTTTCTTGAAATTTTGGTAGAAGGTCAATTTCGATGTGTACTTTTGAAATATGCAAAGAAAAATATACCTTCATGACTTACTTTTTGAGATAATTTGGTTTGAAATTTGCATATTTGAAGGAAAAACCCTGAAATTTCAAAAATCAGGACTTTTAAGGAAAGTACCAATACTTTTGAACGAACAGCCATAATTTAACCGGGTTTTTTGTAAAATGTTCCCTTGATCCATGGCATCAGCATGCTGTAACAAGTTAACGGTTGAAATAAATAATTATATCCTAAATTCTTTTAATACAAGTGAAATAAAGAAGATGAAAATATTTTTGCGTCTACACAGAAGTGCAGAAAAAATTCTATCGTTGATTTTTTCTTAAAATTTTGGCGGAGCGTTCTTGAAACAGAACTTGATTGATTGCAAAAGAAAAAACTGGGGGTCCATGTGCTTGTTTTTTCAGTAAAAGCAATAAACCTTAATTTTTATTTGCAAACGGGACGTTTGCCAATAAGGCGCCAAACTACGTTGGAATAAGTTTTATTCGCAACAACGTCGTGAAATCTTTCCCGCTACGTTGTCAATTTCAGTGGTATAGCCAAGGTGTTTTTTTTAAACCAATGATATTAATCATGAAAATTAATAAAGCTGGCTCCTCGTAAATAGCATCATATTTGCCAAACCTTTATAAATTGTAACGAAACTTGGATAGAAAAAGTATTCTAGTAAATTACTTTTAGAAAAGAAATGTTCGGAAACAAAACAGATATATATAATAAAAAAATTAATTTGCATCTCTGCATGTCCGACATTAGTCATACAATTCATGTAGACAACACAGCTTAGACATAGTTTTAATTATTCAAAAGGCCCCGACATGACAAAATGTGCAACAATTATAAAGTAAGGGGGATGATATAAATATGAGGACATTTGGTATGATTGCAAAAGAGACAAATTAACTATCAACCATAGTTCAAATGACGAAGATAAACGCTATTAAAGGTAACCCTACGGCCTTCAACACAAAAAAAAAAAAAGAAAAAAAAAATAACAGACATACAAAGTTAAGAATGTGGATTTGATTTTTTTCCCATTCGAAGTTAATATTGTTGACTTCCTTATTAATGAATAAATATAACAATTCTCGTGATTTGGCCGATTTTCATTGCAGGTACTTTTTCAAATTCGCGCAATCGGGATTATGACGTCAGTGGATTTTCCGCAAATGTGACTACATCTAAAGCGACGTCGCGAAATGTAATCGTTCTTATTAGAAACATCGCTAAATTACAACGTTCTGATTAACAACGTCGCGAAAACAACACGAAAAGTTTTGAAAACGTTATTATCTGCCCCTGCTACTGTATCGTATGCCCTTAAAGCTTTTTAACATTAGTTCCATTTCTCATTGAACATGCAACGAACTGTGAGTTCAAAGACAGACAACCAAAATCTAGCTTAAATATTTTGTCAGTCATGAACCATAAAATGCATATCACAACCATCCAAATTTAGATAAAATATCCTAATATATGTCAAGTATCAAAATGTGATTCCACTTTTAACCAGTAACTCCTTAGATCTGGACCTCAACATCAGAAACTATCACCAGTCATCACTGAATAAAATGTTGGTCATGGTTGTTGTAATGTTAAATGGATCTGTATCAATTGACGAATGTAAATCTTGTATATACATGTATGGGGTGTATTGGGGATGATTAAATCTGAAACTTAACCAGTGTCATTCATGCATTATCTGCTTTTATTTGGAACTTATGGTATTAGACTTAAGAGCACTTACCTATAAAATATAGGTATTACATACCAAAAAATTCAATGTAGACTGTATTCAATGCAAGTTCTATGACAAGACATTGTTCTTCTTTGTCTAGGCTGTGATCTGACCCTTAATTTACTACCTAAACAGTCACCTGGCCCGAGAACACAGTTATTTCATAGTGCATTTCTTTTAGACAATAAATTAAAATTAAAAAAATTGCACTTCCTCTATCTCAAAAAGATTTTTACAGTGTAGTGTACTACTTTTGGGACAAATAATATCAAAATTATAGAAAAGTCAACCAGCTCTAACTCAAAATATGGACAATTCTATGTTAAGGGGGTCTATAATTCAGTTTGACAGCTTCAGGCATACCAATTTTTTACCTTTTTTAACTGGACCACATCACTACTTTACATAAAAATTCATCACCCAAATTTTTTTAACATGTAATTTCATCCCCCTTCTTAATATTTCATGCATAAAATATAAAGAAATAAATTTGGAAAGTGTATGGAAAAAATTTGCAAATTATACACTGTCCACACTAGGGACTATATTCGTAAGACAACGAAAATCAAAGGACGATAACTGTGTCCTCGGACCACCTTTTCCCCTTTTACTTGTATCCAACAACATAAGGTCCTTAATGAAAAACTTGACCAGAATCACTTATGAGTAGGACTAAGAGGAAAGGATGAATTCATAATATCGTTAATATTTTATTTCATAATGGTTTTGCATTATTGAATATTGTTAATTTAATGGGTTATATTTGTAGATTTTTTTTAAAAAGAGTTTTACAAATTATAAATTTATCATATCATTTTCCCTTGAAAGAATGACTTCTATTTGTATGTCTAATTCACATTTTCTAAGAAATATATGTATAAATCTTCAAATGACTATTCTTTCAATGTTTTTACTTGAAAATTCAATGAAAAAAAGTTATTTTCTCACAGATAGCAGGTTTTATTTCAGTATAACACCACTAACCTGAGTTCCAGTTTCCAGTCTGGATAATGGAGCAAATATCTTTATCTCTCCAAGCTGTATCACATTCACTATAGCATCATCCTGTAAAAAAATATCATCACATTGTTGAATAAGTTTCCATATAGTATAAATACACATTTCTCTCCATCATTCAATATAACATTTTATATAATGCAAGAAATGTCATTGCAAAATCAGTTTAGTATGCTGCATCAAACCAAGTCATTAACAGCCAAAAGCCAAGATTGATGTTGTTTGATACAGAAGCAAAACAGATTTTAGTATGTATTGTTTAAATTATCATATATCTTAATTAAAATATTTTTTGGTAGTTGTTGAGAACAGCCACATGATACATTATACTTTGCATTGTGTTTTTTGAGTTTCTTGTTATAGCTAGATTGTTTGACGTACACCTGAGGAGAGCTTAGAACACATTTTTTTCTGTTGTGGATTGTGGAACTCCGATCTACTAGCCATTGTTTGTAACTAATGATAATTTACATTATCTCTGGGCACTGCTAAATTAATCATTTTACACTGGCTACATACATTATTTTCCTGAAGTCTTTTGGTCAGTCTTGCTTACCTAATGGCAAACAGAAAACTCTTGTTACAAATTGATGATTATTCCCTAGTTCGTTATATCTCTTGGTCTGGCGTGATTAAAGACAACAGTAGTACCTGTTTACTTTATTTACTCAGTCCTGTCTAAGCAATGTCAAAAGTAGACCCTTCTTATAAGTTGGACTTATTTACTTGGCTATAACTGTTTCTCCAGTCTCTGGGTCCCATCAACACAATGAAACAGTAGACCTTTGTTAGAAGTTTGACTTAATTACCTGGCTATATACAACTGTTTCTCCAGTCTCTGGGTCCTGTCCTACAGCCTGACCAATGACAACAGTAGACCCCAGCTCCATGGCCTCCAATACCCCACTTCTAGACACTGAAGATACCTTCCTGTTCTTAATTGAGAACTGTACTGTACATTGTGGTGTAGGCCCTCCTTTACTTAAAACCTACAAAATACTCTAATGATGTATAGTCAGCTTCCAAAGATACAATAAGGTTACATAAGACATGAAATCCCTGCAAAATTAAATCATTATATATGGCAAGACTTGATGAGACCAGTATAAAGTCAGAAAGCAATATGTGCAATAAAATGTTTGGTTGGCTTCACAATCTAATAATCTTATTAATCAATAAAAGCTCCAATAGTAATAAAATTACCAATTAAAATTGAATATAATATGAAATATTTGGATCTCTTCAAGGAATTTGACTCAAACATTCCGTCTAAGTTTATGTGAATGATTTACAAAGTAAAGATAAAAATTTTAATGTTTTGAGACTATTTGTTTCATTGTATGTACTTCAACAGTAATGCATCTCCATAGTTATCAAAACAAATATCTATGTGGAATTGGTCACTATTTTGTACATTTTTTTTTTGCCTTCTTTAACTTAAGGGGTCCAAACCTATAGAGCTATTTACACTAAACTAACCCTAAGCCTGAACATAACCAAGAACCCTGACACTAACCCTGAACCATAACATTAAACTGACACTCAAAGGACCCCTAAAGTAAAGGAAGGCTATTTTTTTATAGTTAACTGTTCAGTCATGAAATTTACTACTACTAATGACTTACTTGGAACAAAGCACCTGTAATTAGAGTTATGTTCTTTGGTATTAACTGTAACGGTGGGAAAACCTGAAAAATAGGTAAAGAAACGTTAAGAATTACATTCTACTGAATAGTAAAAATTATTCATACCTAAAGTAATACCTGAAATAGACTAAAATCATATGATATGTAAAAAATCTATCCTGATAGACCAAGTCATAATTAAAAAGACAAGGAATGAAGTACTTAGTTCAAACATGACTTTCTGACTTTGGACTTTTTTGGCAAAAATCCAAGCATTTAGTATATTTTGCTTCAATTTATACATATATATGCATTTATCCTGAAATCAACCTTTCTACTATACAAATACAGGGTGGCAGATAACATGAACCAATAAATGTATACTAGACGTTTTTTTATAGTCTCCTGGTATCCTGCCTCTGTTGTGAGCAAAACAGTTATGATCAAATTACTGTTTACATAACAGTTCAATTTCAGTCCTCAGCGAGTCTTGCTTTTATCTCGGTTTCTAAAGCTTGTCAAATAAATTTCATATTTTCCTACACGGTACGAACATTATATTTTTTCTATCGTTGACCTCTTACCTCTACTGGTTTGCTTTGACTTCTAACAACACCTGTTTGTGGATGTGCCCGAGCATGAAGTGTGGTATGTCCAACCTGAGCTCCGTATAAGATATATACAGCTGTAAACTCATCTATATATGTATCAGGATCTGGTCTGAAATTAAGGAAAGCAACTGATTTTATTGATTTTAATCAATATTTCAACAAGATGTATCTATAAGAAAAAGTGAAATTGGACTTTTAGTGGTTTTTAATAGCCTTGAAGATTTTTTTTTAATTCATATATTTCTTTATTTTTCAGATAACATGGGGACTTGCTTCCAATTATGCTGCTAAAAACAGTTATATGTGAGGTTAATCTTCTATTATAAACATGAGTCCAGGAAACCATAATAAACTAAAGATCAGATGTCTTAATAGGTGGGAAATAAGACCAATTAATAATTCTGGTTTTCAAGATTCCTGGCAATAAGAATTGTTTGGTTGTTGGTATTTAAAGCCACTTTTAGCACTATTGGCTATTTCGTGACGGTCAGTTTTTATTGTAGGAAGCCTGAGTCTGCAGAGATAACCACCGACCTTCAGCAGGAAAACTGACACTCTTAATCAATTAAAATTTGTGTAGAAAGCACCTGCCACATGAGGGGTCAAAACTCACAACCTCAGTGTGGACAGGCTAATGATACAGTAGGTGAACAACTTAGACAACTCGGCCACCAAGACCACCCAATAAGAATTGAAAAGTGTTTAGCTGAAGACCTACCTAACAGTTATGATATAAGAAGCTGGTATAAGTTTGAGGTCCATCAATGTGAAGAAGCTGGCTCTTAGTGGTTTGTTGTGAACATCCATTACTTTAACTCTAGCCTTCACTTCATGGTCAACTTCCATCTACAATTATATATTTTTGTATTAAACTATACTATCATTAATATTCACATAATAGAAATTATCTCCATGTGAAGTTAAGTACTGTAAATTCAATTTTGCGATGTTTTTACTATTCCAAAAACTGGTATGTTACGCATAAAATAAATCAATTTGAATTTTGATAGCATAACTGCTATGCGGCATTTCTTGAAATAAAATATTTTTGATAAACTAAAGAACTAATGCTGTCTGTAATCTTTTAAATTATGTAAATAAGGTATGATTGATTGATTGCTGGTATTAAACACCACTTTCAACACTTCCATGGACTTCTACACTGCACTTAAATAAACAGTAAAATGTTTGCTTAGCATATAATTTGTGGTAAATGTCAACAGTGAAATTATGTGACTTTTTCCTGACATATAGTTTGTAATTCTAATAATTATACCGTTAAAAGGCTTATATAGTCCGCAGTTTTATTCTCCAAAATTGAACCTGCCAGAAGGGGTGCGGACTATAGAGTACAATAAGCAAGAAATAAGAGAAACAAAATCGTGAGGTTTGTTTACATTCCGCCATGTTAGTTATTGATATTGTAGAGGGCGCTCTTATCATTTTTCAAACTAATAATTTTACCTTATCCATATTAATAAGTTATTTTTATTCAATATCAAATTAAAACTGATAAATTTAAAAGTTAAACACTTCATTACAAATTTCTTGTTTCTTTTCAATGCATTGATTAAAATAAACTGGTATCTGCTTGAATGAAACGATACAAAAAAAGTAAAAAAGACAACCGTAAACCAGCTTACGATGTGTAAATTACAAAACGTAATCGGTTATTATTTGTTCCGTTTCCATGGTTCATACTGACAAATATGTTTTATATTAGCTTAAAACACTTCAAACATTAATGTAATAGATATATCAAACACTGTTTTACATAAAGATGGAACTGTTTTACTTTCAAAGTCGTATTATAGTGATATCTATGATGTACGGATTTCGACTCTCACCGTTTTTTTTCCTTCTTTTACACATGCTATTCAAACTTCCGGTTTAAACATACACAAGTTTCTAAATTGTTTTTTGTGTGATTTAGACTTATTTCAACAATCGTGACGTGTTCTAGAATCATTTACAAGCAGTTTCAGCTTCTGTTTGATGATGGAAAACAGGTTTTTACAAGAAAATACCGCAAACGACCATGCACGATTTGAAATTACCAGAGTTTCATTAGACCTTTTCTAACAGTTACAAAAAGTTTTTTTACCTGAAATTTTGTGGGGAGAAAGGGGTGCGGACTATGTACCAGTGTGAACTATACAAGCCCGATTACGGTACATAAATTTACCTTGTCAATAACAGACAAAAGGACACTTCCCACTCCAGACACATACACAGAGGCTGTCAAAGGTTGTGGCATGGTTATACATAAATCATACACTGTCAGACTTAGAGATCCATCTTTCAGGGGATTAACCTGAATCCTCTTATCTTTCTCCTGATAATCTACACTGACAATACCTCTCTGTTCTGGTACTACATAGAAATAGCCTGATCCTTTCTCCACAACAATGGTTACCTGAAAGATGTATATATATATTATTTTTTTTTTACTAAAGATCATGTTCAAAATAAAGAAGTCTACTATCCAACAACTATGTAATACTTTTATGTAATACTGGAAAACTCTGCAGGTTCAGAATCAAGGGATTGCCTACACTTCACAGTAATACTAAAAAAAATAAACGACCAGAAAACTTTCTTAAAAAAGTATATGATAGATTGAACTTACGATTTTTATTTTGTGCTTTTTTTGTAAATAAATGTCTTCTACTGGTTTAATATGACATGATGATCTAGCTCAACACAGCAAAATTTTTCAACATTAATAGCAATTGCTGAAAGAAGATAAACTGAACTTATACTTACTTTATTTGATGGATGATTAAAAATAGATATTACACTAGGCGTCAGCACAGCTTCATCTACCAATCGTATGTCTATTGTCTTTGTCAATCTAGGATAAATGCGGTTCTGCCAAAAAAGAAAAATCAAATTCACATGTTGGCAGACAAAAAACAAACCAGACTTTTATTTCAGATCAACTCATTTGTTCAAGCTCATATAGATATTTACTCTATTTCACCTCCAACCATTTGTAATTCTTTAAAGCTGAAAAATGTAAGTTAAATACATAGAATTTTCCAAGGCTAAGGTATAATTGATACTAATGTCTTAATAGTTTCATACACAATTCTTATCTCAATTAGGAGAAAGTAACAAATCTGGACTATTATTTGATAATTAAAGATATTTGTATATTTGCCCACAACACCATAAACAATGTAATTTTTTTTATTAATTTAATGCCTATCATTTTAGTTTGAATTATCTCAATATGAAATTCTTGGTGCTCATTATGTTAACAGTAATCAAATCAAGAGAACATAATACTGGACATTTAAGTTATGGTAAAACAAACATGAAAACTTTAAACCTTGTCTCCCCCTTACTGTTATATACATGTTATTATTATTAGAACAATGTCATGTATCATATAAAAGTAAAACGAACTCAATTTACATTGTAAACAAACTTTATTTTTCTATACTTATCTTATCTATTTATAACTCTTTATTGCTACTTTCACTTTTCATTGTTTCTCTCACCTTGACAACGTCAAATTCAATGTACCACTTTGAGTACTTCAGTAATTAATTTCTGTATGAAAATTGTCCCCATGACGCCTGCCTTGCAGGCAAAACATGTAGACCATAGCAAATAAAATTGCAGACCATTTGAAGTGTTGTTGTCAATTTTGAGTTTATTATTATTAGTTTATTTGTCTTAGAGGCTATCAATGGGTTGAAAATAATATTAATTTCTTATTTGATTAAAATTATTCTGACACATGTTTATTTCCTAATAAAATAGAAACTGTCTTTTTGGTCTGTTACTGTGTGTTAAAAAGACCAAATATTCACTACTGACCAAAACCTTGTCCTCAGCCAATGAGACTTTTAAGAATACTATGACTCAAATAGATATTAACAAAAGAACAATTGACTGATATGAATATATAATGATGAAACCACTTACAGTTATGGTTGAGCCTGCTGACTTCAAATAGTCATCACTATAGTATGTCACAGTACCAGTGACCGACAACTGACCAGTCTTTCCTACAGGAACTAATTTCTTATAACCTGAAAAAAAAAAACATTTCTTACAAAACATGAATTAAAATTAAAATAAATTTAAAGGTGTAAATTATTTTGATCAACACCCCCACCCATATACTAAATAGTTGTACATTTTACCAATAATTTAAAAAATAAATAAAACTTAATGCCCCCACCGCTACGGTGGGGGCATAAAAATGTTTCATAAAAGCTTTTTGATAGAAAAAATATAATGAAAAGCCATAAAATAGACTACAATTTTATCATTTTTACCCCAAAACATTGTCCCCTGGTGGTTTAACTTAGAAGTTAATAAAAAGCATCACTCGAAATATCATTATGACATCACAATTATAAGCTTTAGGTGCTAATAACATATGCTATGAACAGTTATTTCTCAATAGTCCTTTAGATAATAACATGTAAAGGCAAACTGAGACTGCTGTTTAGACTTCTTTGTTAGCTCATAAAAATTAGTCACAATGTTGTTGGTTTTTAGTTGTATCTTAACTGCAGATGTGATGGAAAGGACGTTTAGAAACCATATTCTTTCAAATTATTCCCCATAATATTAAAACTTAACAATGAGGATAACAAAGTTCGTTTAGCATGTTCACTAACCTAATAGTTAGCAAAGTGTCACAAAAACAGGCCTCCTCAATTAGTATATTAAAAACTTAATTTATTGTATGCATTTTTTAACACCTTTAAATATGTTTATTCAAATTTCCTCTGTCATACAATATGCATATGCAATCCAGGAAAGCAATTGTATTCATTGACTGTAACTTACTGTTGACTAATCTGATGCCATGAACAGTCTCTACTGATGATACAATGGAATCAGAAAAGGAAGCCAATGATTGGTCACTTAATGTCCAATCAAAAACCAGTGAAGAAAAGTTATCAAACTTTCTGCCATTTGAATCTGTGACAGTTATCAAAATATCAAGGTCTCTCCTACAATGAACTGGTATCTGAAAATATATAAATGGAATGGTAAAACAACTGTCTCAAATTTTTCATGTCTGAGCTTTTTATAGCTGACTATACAGTATGGGGTTTTCTTATTGTTGAAGGCCGTACGGTTGCCTATAATTGCTTACATCCACTTCATTTGAACTTGGGTGGATAGTTGTCTCATTGGTTGTCTCTCCTTATTCTTAAATTGACAGTAATAAATTGTCTAAAAAAAATTATGCTTTTTTCACAAAGTAAAGAACTCATGATATTCACTAATAATACACCCAACCACAACAAAGAAAAAAATATAATTTCTAGACACTTGCTTTAGATTAAATATCCCTCTTTCTACTTGATATCACTGCATGTTTATACATTCTTTAGAACAAAAATTATATACTTTCCGCAAGCGTCTAACTGCTGTAGGGAAGAAATTTAAGTGGCCACATCTCTGTATCCAAGTTACTATTGAGGTGTGTTTTTTTTAAACTAATTTCATTTTACAATAAATCATTTAAAAAACAAATTCTACCAATTAATCCCATTAATTACAACATTTTTAAAACTCTTGATAGTCAATTAATTTTGTTTTTAAATGCTTGGTTACCTTCCACGGAGGGTCATGTGATATAATCTTCATTTACTCACTGGTTGTGACACTTCTCTACTGTTGATTGGACACGGAGGTAACCCTTCTGTATAGCCAACTGATGGCTGTAGATGGACTTCAACAGGAGCTGCACAGCTAAATCTGAAGGGGAAACAAAAATATTCAATTACTTAAACTTATCATTAACGAAAAATATTCCTTTTAGTGTATCCTAATAATACATATGAAGTGCCATCTTAAAAATTTATCTACTCTGGCTTCATTATTGTTATTAGTTTGATACCAAATATCATGGATTTCAATGGTACAAGGGAACCACAAATTTAATTGTTCAATAATTACAAATTTTCTATATGAATATATGCAGACTTTGGCAAAACTACGAAATCAAATATCTACAAAGCTGCAAGATTTCCTCAATCCACAAAAATTGGTAACGACGAAAAATAAATGAATCCACAGTAGCCTTGTAATTCATCAGATAAGGAGGTGTGAAGTTAAAGAGGGAAAACAGTTTATGAGATATGGATACAAGAATGGACACACACAGACAGACAAGCATATTACTGCAGGCCTTTTGCAGATTAATTGACTGGGCCCTGATAAGTTTTACATGCAAGCACTTTATTATAATATCACCTAATACTAGCTACTTCTTCAGCAGGGTACTGATTCTTGGCTGTTTTCTCATTACCAACTTTTAGGGTTAATTTCTGAAATATAAATTCAAAATGGATGAATCTGTTTAGTAATTTATATGTTTCTAATCACGAATGACTGTGGTTATTCACATGTAAGCTAATGTTGTATTCAAATTGCTGACTTCAGAAAAAATGTGCTGTGGTTTCTTTCTTTATTTGCATATATGGTGAGACTTCAAAATCATTCTTACATTTCTTCCAGAGCAGCCCTCATATATTTTTGAATAATTTCATAGATTAAGATATAAATAAAAGCAAAAGTGATGTATACATACATTTGTATATGAGACAACAAACCAATGACAAAGAAAACCACAAACCATAGCACTAGTGTTCAACATAAGTCTTCAATATTATCTTAATCTTAAGTATAAAAGTTGAATAAATTTAAAATTGGCTATTAATATCTGCCACTAACAAGAAATTCCCTAAATGACAATAGAAATGACTGGATTGATGGTCAATCTATTGAGGATGAGAAATATTGGTTTTAACTCTGCTTTTGATAAGATTAACACATTACACTGACTTTTTGTAGTGTCCGATCATTACATAAGTCTACAGGAATAAATGCTTCAAAAACAGAATTCTATTCAATTAATTCCAACTAGATAAGTCTTTGCTCTTACTCCTTCTTACAACTTACAATTTTTAACCCAAATTCTACTGAAAAATCTAACCGTAAATGTATTGCATAATCTACTGCATAAAATAAATGCAATAAATATCAGTACTGTATCTTACCTGAACACCAAAATCTTCACAAGTCACATAAAAACTATGTAAACCACCTGTAAACATATAAATAGGTAAATCATAATCAATTGTCTATGTATAGGTAAATCATAATCAATTGTCTATGTATAGGTAAATCATAATCAATTGTCTATGTACAGGTAAATCATAATCAATTGTCTATGTATAGGTAAATCATAACCAAGTGTCTATGTATAGGTAAATCTTAATCAAGTGTCTTTGTATAGGTAAATCTTAATCAAGTGTCTTTGTATAGGTAAATCATAATCAATTGTCTATGTATAGGTAAATCATAATCAAGTGTCAATGTATAGGTAAATCATAATAAAGTGTTTATGTATAGGTAAATCATAATCAATTGTCTATGTATAGGTAAATCATAATCAAGTGTCTATGTATAGGTAAATCATAATCAAGTGTCTATGTATAGGTAAATCATAATCAATTGTCTATGTATAGGTAAATCATAATCAAGTGTCAATGTATAGGTAAATCATAATCAAGTGTTTATGTATAGGTAAATCATAATCAATTGTCTATGTATAGGTAAATCATAATCAAGTGTCAATGTATAGGTAAATCATAATCAAGTGTCAATGTATAGGTAAATCATAATCAATTGTCTATGTACAGGTAAATCATAATCAATTGTCTATGTAATTAACAGACTAGTTATTTCCATGTTATGAAATACTACCTTTACATAAGACACTTAAAATTTGTGCAATTTTTGAATTAAACTATTACAAAATTTCCCTTCATGTGATTTTGATATTGGTATATAAATGAATTGCATATGATACAATATTTCTCTTCTTGAGACAAGTAAATTTACAAAGGTGGAATCTGTTTCTCTAATGATATTTTGAAAATTTGTAGGTAAACATTATCTTTCATTTTCAGTGATCTACAAAAAGATTGTGTTCTTTATATGTGATGTCATCAAGCATTATTGCCTTATTTGTGATGTCATTTGACATAATAATTAAAAATTGACCATTGAAGAACTGAGATCAAGTAAAATGATTAAAATTAGAGAAATCATTTTATCACATATATTGAAAATTTGAAACAGAACCAAAATATACCAAAGTAACAGCCCTTTCATTGCAGTTACTGAATGTATAGATTTCCTTGCAAAATACAAATGTTGTTAACTGCTATGACTACCAATGTAAAACTAAATAAACTTACGAGCATTTCCATACAGTTTAACCTTTTCTATGTTAACTATTTCTTCTTTCTCTTCAGACACTGAAACATCAATTCAATACTTGTTTGAAGATATTCATTACATCTTTCTGTATGTTATGTGTTTGTAAGAAACAATATTTCCTCTCCATTAAATGAAATGTATTTAATAAAATAAAAGTATTATTCACAGAAATGTCACCTATCTTACTTCCAAGCAGCCTGATCATTTCAGTATTAAAATGTATATGCTGTTTTCATTAGATATCAAAAAGTTATTTTTCAGTTATTCTATTTTGATTTAACTTCAAATAAAGAGAACTGTGTTTCCCTCATTATTTCTTTGTTGAATATGAGGTGAAACACTCTTTGTTAGAAACTTATAATTAGTTTAGATGGATGTTGATCTTATAATTTGTATTTTTCCCATATTTTCTATTCATTTGTCTAAAGCTTTAACTCACTGATTATAAGAAAAGTATGTGTTTAAGAAAAATAAACCCTTAGGTCACCCAAATACAACCTCATGGTGTGATAAATACTTCCTCATTTGAACTATCTAAAGGTTTGCCATTGGTTTGCTGTCAAATCTACATACATCTCACATCTCCTTTTACTCACACTACTGCATCTCGTAACATCATTAACAAAATAATGACAAAATAAAAAATAGTCAAAAAAGATCAACTTGAATGAATTTAAAAGTTAACAGAAGAAATAATAATTTTAGAAAGTGAAATACATACTATCTTGGTAATATTTTGATGTATCGAGCACCCATGGCTGTGGTCCACCTGTGAATATAACTTCTTTCAGAGAACCAATAGTAACTACAGCTTCCTTCTCTGGATCTATTGGCTGTGAAAACATATCATTAGTCAAAGGTTAGTATTAATTCTATAAAATATACAGAAAATTATAAGTCACAATTTTTGGTAAATTTGTACCAGGGTATCATATTGTTTTCTTTCCTAATAACATTTACTTCTTCTATATCATGCTCTGATGTAAAAGATTGCAAAGGTATGAAATTTAGGATATAATCATTATTTTCTCTGACATATACACTTGAGCCATGATTTTGTATGTATCTCTTCTTCTTAATGAGTTTTGACCTACGCTTGGTTATCATACGCCCATTTTGTATGTATCTCTTCTTCTTATGAGTTTTGACCTACCCTTGGTTATCTTACGCCCATTTTGTATGTCTCTCTTCTTTAATGAGTTTTGACCTACCCTTGGTTATCTTACGCCCATTTTGTATGTTTCTCTTCTTCTTATAAGTTTTGACCTACCTTGGCTATCTTAAGCCAATTTTTGAGTCTGTACAAAGAACAATGAAGTTAATTTGCTAGTTTGCTTTCAGTACAAGACGACTATGGGTCAGAACAGTATATAAAGTCCAAATGCTTTTTTTTTTTAATTCTTTTATAAATTTATCTATTTGCTAATAATTTAATTTTGGATGTAACGCGTCTTCTGATTGGCTGACGTTGTTTTGTTTATCAGCTCATAGACATAATTTTGTCATGTGACCGTGACGTCATCAACGTTTTTTCGTGGTTTACTACGGTTTAAAATGGAATTTAGAATTAAATTATAAGAAATAACTGTAATATTTTTTCTGTCTATTCAAAATAACATAAAAAATGTGGTGCACACTTTAAAATAACCTGCTACGCGGGTTATTAAGTGTGCACCACATTTTTGATGTTATTCCTTCATAGACAGAAAAAATATTACAGTCATTCCTTAAGTAGATTTATTATCTGAGGACATTATAGTATATTATTATTAAACGTTCTGAAATTATTTTTTTTAATTGTCACTTAATTTAAACATACCACTAAAGGATCATAGGCTGCTATGGTAACAGTTGATTCTAACTTGATATTTTCATAGACATAAGAGGCTTTGACTTGTGTGTGACCTTTCTGTGCTGCTTTAACCTTAATAGTTCTACATCCCTCTTCAGGTAAACTTGACCCTAAAATCAGTATAGAAATAAATATTTTATTCAATGGCTCATTGAGGAGCATCCAGAAAGTTTCAATAGCTGTTTGCTTGTTTGGTAAATTTCTATCCTTTCCTTCAACCCTAAATGCAGCTACCATTGACTGAACTGTTTCTTCATTGTGATTTTGCAAATTATGTTTAAATAAAAATGACCATGTTATGTGTCTGTATTATTTTAAAAGAACATTCCACCTCATATCCTTCAAACCAATTGGAATTATATCCTAATTTGGAATAAGTATACCAAAAGAGGAGGTATAAGAGTCCTTATTTGGCCCCTGAAATCATTGTATTCTCCAATTCAAATGAATAATAATACATAGATCGATCCAATACATGCAAATTTACTATCTGTGATGTCATAATACATGCAAATTTACTATCTGTGATGTCATTAAGACTTCATAACAAGAATATGTGTCCATAGGACATCATGTCTCACAGCACTAGCAAATTTCCATGTTCTGTGAAATCAGGGTCAAAATAGTAATTTGGAATACAATTAAAAAAACTCACATTATAATGAACATGTTGATGTAAATACATCTTCAGAGTAAACTACATTAAACCATAGCTTTAACCCCAAACAGGATAAACCAACAGACAGACATACAGACTGGAAAACACAATGCCCCCTACTATTGTAATAATATCATAATAATATCTGCAAAAACAACTAAACTAGAGGCTCTCAAGAGCCTGTGTCGCTCACTTTATCTACTGTGGTTTTGGAAATATGTAAAATAATGTTAAAATCATAATAAATAGTATTAGATACCCTAATAATGATTGAGGCTAAGTTTAAAGGACAATAACTCCAACAAGATGTCAATTGACCATTTTGGTCATGTTGGCTTATTTGTAGATCTTACTTTGCTGAACATTATTGCTGTTTACAGTTTATCTCTATCTATAAAAATATTCAAGATAATAACCAAAAACTGCAAAATTTCCTTAAAATTACCAATTCAGGGGCAGCAACCCAACAAAGAATTTGCTCTAAATAATTTAGTTTCAGAGATATAAGCCAAAAACTGCATTTTACCCCTATGTTCTATTTTTAGCCATGGCGGCCATCTTGGTTGACAGACAGGGCCATCGGACAAATTTTTTTAACTAAATACCCTAATGATGATTGTGGCTAAGTTTGGTTTACTTCTAATAATCAAGAGGTTTCTTGGAAAATGTTTTCTTTAAAAAAACTTTTCAAACGAATGACATCAAAGAACGACATACACTCAGTGATGACAAGAGCTCACACTGGCCCAAATCTGTGTGGTGAGGAGAGAGAAAATCAGTGAAAAAAAAACAAAGAATATAACCCATGGAACAACATGCCCCACTTGCACGATCACATTACCATGTTCAGTGAACCAAGAAATCAGGGTCAATATCGCAATTTGGTTTCAAATTTAACAAGTGAAACTGTGAGCTACTGCTCACTGATGATACTCTGCCCAGTTACTTGACAGTAAACAGGAAGTTGTTGAGTGATGAATCTGAAAACGCATCACACGATATAGATGACTAATACAAACCCTGAAACCAAATTACAGAATAATGTAGTTCCTAAGAAAGATGCGACGAAAAATATTCATGGGACGGACAGACGGACTGACGGACGGACTGACGGATGGACGGACAGAGATAAAACAGTATATCCCCACTTTTTTAAAGCGGGGTATAAAAAGTTCACATCAAAATGAACATATCCACTAAGAACGGATAGACTGAACATCAGATAATAGACATAATGTCACTCTACTTTGGTTAGGGGGTGGGGGATAAAAAATCCTTCAGGAAATCACACCAGATTAATAAACATACCGTTAACTTTACTGAAAACTACCTCATCTGTAATTGTCACATTTATTCTCATCTTTCTACAGTCACCAAAGCTAACCTGACGACCTAAAACAAATATCAAGTAGACGTTTCAATAAAATATTTCACCTGTCTTACCAATAATCTTTTCATTAAGTCTTGTTTTTGGAAATCTTCATTTCAAAAAATGTTAGCCTCTTACAAGTTATAATGTAGCATATGAAACTGTTAAAAAATCATCATTTTTTAAGGTAGCTAATTATCACATTTTTATTGATCATGATTTTATCATTGGTATTTTTTCTGTATTGTATATTAACATTTTAAAGTATTTCAAAGGGTGCAAAAATTTGAACTTTTTGAAAAATATTACTGAATTCACAAAGTAAATTTTTACATTTTTTACATTTTAGTTGATATTTGAATTTTCAAGAAAAATGCAATTTTGGTTTGAAAATTTCACACTAAAAAAATATGTCAGGTTCATATTACAAATAAAGTCTTGTGTAAATGATTTTTTTTTTTCACTTTGTAAGTTCCTACTTATTTTGGTTTACTGTTGGAATATTATTGTTATTTCTACAACTGTTCAAAACTGACTGAATATCCAAAGAACCAAAAAACAATAGAAGACTGTAATATATAATATTATATTTTAAACAATCCCACTGTAGTAAAGTTCATTAGATTTAAACATATCAATCACAAATGCAGATAAAAATGTGGATAAGAGCTATCCATCACACTCCACTAACCTTCTAGTAAACCAAAAACAGCTAGAGGCAATTCTAGTTCTGTGTCAACCATGGCTTCAACACGTTTGGGTATAAACTCCATTTTGGATGGTGGCAAGACATGTATCTGAAGTATTAGCAATTTATATTAATTATATAAATAAATATGATACTTATTAAAAAATATCTTTTTAATTTAAAATTTAGAATAATGCACTCTCTTACCGTATAAACTAGGTGATCCATCATTACCAGTCAGAGGGTTGTAGAAGTGATACTGGATGTGACTTGATGTAGGTTTGTTTGACATTGCTTCCATTATTATGTTTAAAGTTGAAGAAATAAAAGACTAGATGACTAATATACGTCACCCTTTAATATCTTTATCAGATATTACAAGATAAAAACAAGTTGAACTGTGAACTAATACTCATTAATATCACATAGTGTTTTCTCTGGAGGGTTAAAGATTAATGGGCTCCCATGCATTAATTTATATCTACAGGTATCCTTAAAATTCAAATACCCTATTATTCTATATAAGCCCCCATGCTTTCAAATTCATGACAACTATCCTTTCAGTCAATCCATCATCCATCAAAAAATGTCTAAGGACAACAGATACTATAAGCTGAAATCAATAAACCAATGAAGGATGGATATGAAAATGAATCACAAGGTTTAAAATGTTCACATGGAGCTTGATACCAAATTTAAGAAGGCTTGGATTTATAGTAGTTCCTGAGAAAATGCAATTAACATTTTACACATTACCATTCCGTGTTAAAACATATAAGTATTCCGTTTTCAAGAAGTTGATGAGTGATGAATGTGAAAACACACCCAAAATGTAAAGCATGCTCACACTCCTCACAGTGACCTATAGTTGCTAACCTTTCATGTCATTTGGTCTCATTGGCAATCATACCACATCTTCTTATTTCTATATCACAAGAATCTAGAACATTATGAAAGGAATTATTTGTCTTACCGTAGAAGATCCTTTATGAGCCTGATTTCTGGTGTCTGCTGCTGTAACTATAGATTTTCCCAAGTTACTAGTAGTTATCTCCCCTCTCACATTGACAGAGGTTGTGTCAAGGTTATTTGATGACCATATATAGTCTCCACTGCCACCGGTTGCCTGTTAAAATAGATAAAATACAAAAATTAATAATAAATATACTATGAGAGAAATTGTCAGCTAAAATTTAAGATATAATTACTGGCAGCGATGCAATTACTTGAGAAAAATTAATGTATTCATAATGTTGGATAAAGTTAAAGCAAGTTCTGCCCATTTCAAAAGCTAAAACAAACTTATTGCTGACATAAAAAACTCAATTTTAATAGATAGTAATGTAGATATGAAATCAAAGTTTTACACTATAATTTCTAGCAGCTTATATGACAATACTTGTATAAATAGTGTTGCAGTTTTGACATCATCATAAATCATGTGTTACAAATTTATATTTTAATGAAAATTTGAATATAAAGAAGGTTGCTTCTTGTAATGAAGCTACTGAATAAAGAATTCTGAATGAAAAATATGAAGTCTTTTTTTGAATGTTTTACAGACTTTGTTGGACATTAGTGGATATCTATGTTACATATGGCAAGGGATACCTTTCCTTTACTGCACTGAATAGGTAAGGACAACAGATTTAAAGTTTGATGAAAAAATACTTTGTCATTTTTGGGGATTCCTAAATAATTTTGTACCTTGCTAAGTTTTCAGTATATCTATCAAACCTACAATTGTGCCCTGTCTATCAAATATCCAAACATTGACTATTTTAAAGATAGAACAATTTTCTTGCTGATTATACCTTCAGTTGGTATCTGTGATTTGTCTCTCTAACAGGATCCCATGGGAAGTATAACAATGGAGGGTGTACTTGAATAGGATCATAAATCTCCACATCTTGGGTCTGTTTGATTACTGGATTAATGGCATACTCTGATCCATCCTGAAATATATTTCAAAATACAAACTACCAAAGATTTGGCATTAGATAACAATCTCAAAAACATTCTTTTCTTTATTAAATTTCAAAAACACACATCATAACTTATTAACTAAATTACTTTTCCTAACGTCCCCTTGAATGTTGTCTCCCTTACTTGCAGAGTGAGTGTATTTTTGAGCTCCGATAAATCTTCGATTTTCTGTTGTAAAACAGTCTTGGAGTCAAATTTTTTTTTGGATTTTCGTATGCATAGAGGATTTTGCTATGTATTTTCTGTGTTTATAGACTTTCTCAGTCAGGAGATAGTGAGATTCTATTGACATTTTATCTGTGCGACATCTGAATTCAACTCACCAGTTTTTCAAAATGGCCAATATACAAAGAACACTATCGGTTCATTTTTATACTCGTGGTTTTAAGGGGATAACACACGATGAAATAATAAAGGAACTTGAAAAACAAATAACATTAGAGAGTGTTAAATCCATCCAATTGACTGAAAAAAGCTGTGTTGTTACTTTAAGCAACCTAGATGCTAAAGAAAGGTTAGTACAGTGTGATTTAACAATAAAAAATAGAAGCGTCAAATTTATTGATGTAGACAACACAATAACAAACATAACAATCAAAGACCTTCCATATGAACTAAATGACTGCTATCTAGCTACACAGATGCTTCAGTATGGCAATGTCGTCCCGGGTTCAGTAAAGCGGGGATATATTCGAGGAAAAAATATAGAAAATGGTTCAAGATACATTCAAATCATTAATTGTGTTCCGACAATACCAAACAAAACAACATTTGGGAGATATGATGTCCGAATGTTTGCCGACAATGGTCGTACAGAATGTATACATTGTAAACAAAGAAACCACCCTTCCTATGCTTGCAAAGATAAACCAGATCATAGTAAGCGCTGCTATAACTGTTCAGAAATTGGGCATTTTGCACGAGACTGTCTTAACGAATCAAAATGTTCCTTCTGTAAAAAAAACGGACATGTCCGTAATGACTGCGTTGACTTTAAACACCATACTATGATCAAGTCATATGGTAATTATGCTAGCGAAATTCTCGAAGGTAGAGAAGCTCAAGAAAACGACAAAAATGAAAGTCAGTCCACTGACCCCTTACAAGTGGCAACAAACCATCTACAAACACCTGATAACTACCACACCAAATCAAAAGGGACAAACGTAATGTTAGGAGCTTCAAATTGTTTGAGAGTGGGTCGATTTGAAGACAATTTAATCAATGCCTCTATAAATGGTGCTACCCTAGAAAAAATAGATCAGTGTTTGGGTGCGGCTTTTGAAAACCATCGTGTGAAAAGCAATGGTTCAAATGTAGGCAAGGTCATCATAAGCTTAGGTACTAATGACTTGAGTAAAAACAAACACGACAGTGATCAGGTGAATGTTTTTGCAACACAAGCTATAGTCAAAGTCAAACAAGCATTTCCGAATGCGGATATTGGTGTGTGTGGTATTATTCCGAGAAAAGGGAACAGTAACCATATTCACACAGTAAATGAAACAGCTACAAATGTGAATAAATTTTTGGAAAAATTGTGTCTCAAAGATGAAGTGCTGACCTATATAGATGTAGAACACATATTCACAAAAAATGGTAACGTGGTTAAGGCGCTTTATGAAAAAACAGATACCAGTGGAGTTCATATCACAATTGAAGGGGCTCAAACAATTCGAGTCAAACTACGTGAATTTCTTCACCCTAAGCTGTCACAAATCCAGCACACACCTCGTCCTGGTGACACCAAGCGCAAACTTAGTGACATATCGCTGACGCCAATGTCTGCAGAGAAAGAGAGTAAACAAAGTAAACAAGGTTCTCCGAATGAATATGAGTGATAATAGACAAACCGAAATTACTATCATATTTGTTACTTTTTAAGTAAAACTATAAAAACAAATCAATCTAAAAATGTTATTTGTACATATGTTTTATTTTACTGAATTGCATTCTTTGAATTATTATTATAGATTATTTTTCAATCTATTGTACTTCAAACTGAGTCGATGTATCTGTATTATTATATTTTTAGGTAGACAATTTGAAATGTGTTCAGTAATAGTGTATTGTTATGTGTGGTCAATGACTCGTAAAATTGAAAGTAAACATAAAACGGTAGCGTTGATCGTGAACTTTCAAATAAATCAACGAGGCATAGCGGTGTTAAAATGTAAATCAAATCGTGTACTCTAAAAAAAACTACTAAAGAATGTCGATCCAAATCATAACTTTGAATGTAAACGGCTTACGTGATAAAAAGAAACGTAATTTAGTTTTCAATTGGTTAGCAAACAAAAAATATGATTTAATTTGTCTACAAGAAACACATTGCACAGTAAATGATATAATACAGTGGCAAAATGAATGGAAGACAAATGGGGGCAATAAAAGTGTTTGGAATTGCGGAACCAGTGATTCTCGTGGTGTCTCTATTTTACAAACCAAAAGTTGTCCCGGCGAAGTTGTGTTTGATAATACTAACTCGCAAAACGGTCGAATAATAAAATGCAGCATCAAAACGGAAAGTGCGATTTATCATATATCTAATATATATGCCAACAATAGTGGCATCGAGAGGAAACGGCTTTTTGAATCATTTCATAAATTTTTTGGTAATTTTAAAGACGATAGTGTAGATCATTACAATATTTTGGTAGGGGATTTTAACTGTACTCTTGACAAAACAAATGATCGAAATCCTTCTCATTCTCGTGATGATATTGGTACAAAGGAATTACTTTTTTTATTGTCACAATATGATCTAACAGATATATGGAGGGACAGATATCCAAAAGACAAACGGTATACGTTTCAGAGAGGAAATTCTAAGTCTAGAATAGACTATATCTTTTGTGATAAAAGTCTTTCAAATAAAGTTCACAATGTTGGTATCTCGCATTGTCCTTTTAGCGATCATGATCTTGTGTCGTTCAAATTAAAACTTGACGAAATACAAAGAGGCCCGGGTACATGGATAATGAATATAAGTACAATAAAAAGTGAAGAATTTAAAAATGCATTTGAAATTTGGTGGGAAACCTGGAAAAATGAAAAAAATAGGTTCGAAAAAATTCAAGACTGGTGGGATGTAACAAAATCACAAATAAAAAAGTTAACAATGGAAGTAAGTAAAACCTTAAACAAAAATTCTCAAAAAAGTTATATTATTAACCTTGAACAGAAATTAGAAAAACTCAAATTAAATAGTATCACGTCTGGGGAGGTTGAAAATAAGATATCAGAAATAGAATCACTAATTAAAAACTACTATGAGAACAAATTAGAGGCGTCAAAAATAAGGGCGCGTGTAAAATGGGCGGAAGAAGGGGAAAAATCGTCAAGCTACTTTTTCAATCTCGAAAAGCAAAACGGAAAAAATAAATTATGGAGTCGAATAAAAACAGAAAATGGGCATTATAAATACAATATAGACGAAATACTAAATGAACAACTTAAATTTTACTCAAATTTATTTAGCTCCGAGGGATGGCATTTGGAAAGTGCTCAAGATTTAACAAGCCACATCGAAAACAAACTAAATGACGACGACAAACAATTACTTGACCGTGATATTACCGCGGAGGAAATAAAGAAAGTTCTAAAAATTATAAAAACAAATAAATCCCCAGGGGAGGACGGGATCATATCTGAATTTTATATAATATTTTGGAATATCATACAAGAAGAATTTTGTACGTTATTGCAAGAAATATTTAATAAAAAAACATTGTCGGACTCACAATATAAAGGAGTCTTAACATTACTATTTAAGGGCGGGGAACGAGAAAATATACGAAACTGGCGCCCTCTTACACTACTGAATTGCGATTATAAAATTATAGCAAAAATACTAGCAGAAAGACTAAAAATAGTCCTTCCAATGCTTATTCATCCCGACCAAAAAGGGTTTGTAAAAGGCAGACATATAACGGAAGCGAATAGAATGATACAGGATATCATAGAATATATTGATGATGAAGATGAAGAGGGTATAATTGTCTTTTTAGACCAACAAAAGGCCTTTGATAGGATGGAATGGGGATGGCTAGACTTCGTTATGAAGGAATTTAATTTTGGAGACAATTTCCGTGGTTGGGTTCAAATGCTATTAAAACGTGCAAAGACGTGTATCAAAACAAATGGCTACGTCTCAAAATATTTTTCAATTTCTAGATCAGCCAGGCAGGGGTGTCCTATAGCCCCTTTTTTATATATATTACAGGCAGAGCCCTTGGCCTGTGCAATAAGGGCAGAAAAAGACATTCAAGGCATTATATTGCCTGGGGAAGAAAATGGGGAGCTACTAGAAACCAAATTGAATATGTTTGCAGACGACACACAATTATTTAATAAAAATGAAATTTCTGTTAGAAAATCTTTTGAAATATTAGACAAATATGAAAAGGCATCGGGTTCTAAAATTAATTACGAAAAGACTAAGGGAATAAATATTGGCGCAAATAAACACAAACGGCCTACTTTTCAAAAGATAAGCTGGACAACAGATAACATAAAAACACTAGGTATTCACCATGGTTATAACATTGATAATGACAAAATTTGGAAAACAATATTAGAAAAAGTACAAAATTGTGTACACGTTTGGAAAAGTAGAAAATTGACATACACTGGAAAAGTCCTTATTGTTAAAAATTTAATTATTTCAGTGTGTGGTTATGAGTTAGAAATAAGAGGTATACCTGAAAAATACAAAAAAGATTTGAATAAGATAATATGGAATTTTATTTGGGATGGTAAAGTGAATCAAGTAGACCGTAAGGTTTGTTGTTTAGATGTTAAAAAGGGGGGCATGGGAATGGTAAATTTGGATAGTTGGATAGAAAGTAAATATATCAAATCGTTATATTCGATATTACACAAGCCATTATCTAGTTGGAATGCAATAGGTAAATTTTGGTTAAAAAAATACGATAAGAAATTTGCAGATGAACTTTTTTTGTGTAGATGTTCTGACCTTTCAGGTCTTGCGATCAAAAACCTACCACATTATTACAAAAGCGCTTTACAATCGTGGTCAAAATTGACAAGTATCACACAGGGTATCTTTAACGAAATGGAAGTAAAGAAACAGCGATTATTTGGAAACTCAAATATTTTATTTCAGGGCAAATCTTTATTTTATTCTTCTTTTTCAAAAAGTCAAATAAAAACTATTGATGATATATGGGACAATAATACCAAAGATTTTAAATCGTGCAATGAAATATATCAACAACTAATAGATAAACGTAATTGTATTTCGGAATACTCGCGAATTAAAAGTTCCATACCACAAACATTCGTGCAGATTTTAAAAAACAACGATGTTCAACGCACTTTAAAAAGCCACAAAATCAAAATGTCTGAAAACCTTGAATTTCTAAATCCAGATAATAAAATCATTAAAATCAAAGATTTGACATTAAAATATCTACAGTTAAACATAAACATAACTGAGACCCCTAAGTGTCAAACAAAATGGGAAAAATTGTATAGCGAGTATATAAATTGGGAAAAAATTTGGCTAAATCTCAGTAAAATGGATATTAATAGAAAAGTTAAAGAATTTCAATGGAAATGTATACACAGGATTATATATACCGAAAAGAGACTGCAAATAATGCATATGTCAAATGGAAAATGTCACTTATGTGATGAAAATAATAATATTGAAACACTCGAGCATTTATTTTATCAATGTAATAATGTTAAACCATTGATAGAAACAGTTGTCAGAAATTTACAACTTTGTAACCTAATAAATAACGAGACGCTCGTTGAAAAAGATATTTTAATAGGAATCTGTACAGATAATTCGAATAATATAATTGTTAATGCAATAATACTTTATTTTAAATGGGCTATTTGGAAAATACGTAATAAATGCAAATTCGATAAAATTAAACTGAATATGCAGTCTATACAAAGCCTGTTGAAATTGCAAATGAAAAACGAATTAAAACTACTCTTGCTACGCTCGGATATAAAGTATATATGCAGATCAAAAATTCAACTCTTTATCGAAAAAATATAAGAAGATATACTTAGTTCTACTGCTCTAAACTAAAGGTGTGTTCGATTCCATATATAATAATCTTATTGTATTTTAGAAAGAACGTAGTGAACAATAAGTTATTTTTACAGAAAGAAATATTTGTATTGTAATCGATATTTGAATCTATGTCTGTGCATATTATGTATATTAGTAAATTACCACATATATCATGCTTCTTAATACATTAGTACTTACCACATGTGCTTTATCCTTTTATAATCCATACTTATATATTACAGAATAATTTCAATTTTTGTTCAATCACATCAATAATTTCCAATTCAAATTTTCTCAATCAAATATATAGTTTTCAAGTTTAAATATTTAAAACACATGTTAGTCAGTGAACCGGATATACGATAGTGATTATGTATTACAGTGATGCTTAACAGGTAAAATCGATTGTATTGGTTATTTAAATATATGTATGTAAAACTATTGTAAGTTTAAATTCATTTGATTTTTTCCCTGGTCAAGTGAGGCTGTTAAAATACAGGGGCCCCTAAGTATGCGACCTGGGCTACTTAGGTATTTATATATCAGGAAATGATTGAATAAAAATATTTGTTATCGTTAAAAAAAAAAAAAAAAAAAAAAAACGTCCCCTTTAGGAACACTGTCTTAAAATCTATAGCACACCAAAATTAAAGCCCACAATGTAATTCAGTTATAAACAACTGTGCCATGTATGTAAAACTCTCATTCACTAATTAATGAATGATTAAATAAATATTAACTGCAGTTTTTATACTAATAGTACAAAGATTAATTCAAATTATATACAATGTTTTTATTAAATCTTTAAAAATAAGACTATTTGAGCTCATAAAAATACACAAAGATAAGTTTTACCTTTCTTATAATGGTTGTCAGGGCTCCATCTATATTTGTTTTCCCCTTCTGTAATGTTGTTACTGTGTGATATGTCCCATTTTTAGTTGAGTAATGTAATTTAAAATATGTGTCTGGGAAGGCAGCATCAATAATTATATTCTGAAATAAGAGTAAATCATATTTAATGGCCGACAAACATTACATCAACAAAATATATATTTGGAACAACTTTTGTAACTGATGATCAAACCCACTCTGTATTTTTTTTTGTTTTAGACATTTAGGCATTTGTACAGAAACTTAAAAAATCCCATTCCATCTAGGGAAAATATAACTCCATCAGCTAAAGAATACTGTAGTGGTCTGAAAATAATTTTTGTACTTTGAAGTTTATAAGACACCTTAAAGTTAATATAAACCTATATCTTATACCAACACATAAAGGGAAACCTATATCTTATACCAACACATAAAGGGAAACCTATATCTTATACCAACACATAAAGGGAAACCTATATCTTATACCAACACATAAAAGGAAACCTATATCTTATACCAACACATAAAGGGAAACCTATATCTTATACCAACACATAAAGGGAAACCTATATCTTATACCCCTATATCTTATACCAACACATAAAGGGAAACCTATATCTTATACCAACACATAAAGGGAAACCTATATCTTATACCAACACATAAGGGAAACCTATATCTTATACCAACACATAAAGGGAAACCTATATCTTATACCAACACATAAAGGGAAACCTATATCTTATACCAACACATAAAGGGAAACCTATATCTTATACCAACACATAAAGGGAAACCTATATCTTATACCAACACATAAAGGGAAACCTATATCTTATACCAACACATAAAAGGAAACCTATATCTTATACCAACACATAAAGGGAAACCTATATCTTATACCAACACATAAAGGGAAACCTATATCTTATACCAACACATAAAAGGAAACCTATATCTTATACCAACACATAAAGGGAAACCTATATCTTATACCAACACATAAAGGGAAACCTATATCTTATACCAACACATAAAGGGAAACCTATATCTTATACCAACACATAAAGGGAAACCTATATCTTATACCAACACATAAAAGGAAACCTATATCTTATACCAACACATAAAAGGAAACCTATATCTTATACCAACACATAAAAGGAAACCTATATCTTATACCAACACATAAAGGGAAACCTATATCTTATACCAACACATAAAGGGAAACCTATATCTTATACCAACACATAAACCTATATCTTATACCAACACATAAAGGGAAACCTATATCTTATACCAACACATAAAAGGAAACCTATATCTTATACCAACACATAAAGGGAAACCTATATCTTATACCAACACATAAAGGGAAACCTATATCTTATACCAACACATAAAAGGAAACCTATATCTTATACCAACACATAAAAGGAAACCTATATCTTATACCAACACATAAAGGGAAACCTATATCTTATACCAACACATAAAGGGAAACCTATATCTTATACCAACACATAAAAGGAAACCTATATCTTATACCAACACATAAAGGGAAACCTATATCTTATACCAACACATAAAGGGAAACCTATATCTTATACCAACACATAAAGGGAAACCTATATCTTATACCAACACATAAAGGGAAACCTATATCTTATACCAACACATAAAAGGAAACCTATATCTTATACCAACACATAAAAGGAAACCTATATCTTATACCAACACATAAAAGGAAACCTATATCTTATACCAACACATAAAGGGAAACCTATATCTTATACCAACACATAAAGGGAAACCTATATCTTATACCAACACATAAACCTATATCTTATACCAACACATAAAGGGAAACCTATATCTTATACCAACACATAAAAGGAAACCTATATCTTATACCAACACATAAAGGGAAACCTATATCTTATACCAACACATAAAGGGAAACCTATATCTTATACCAACACATAAAGGGAAACCTATATCTTATACCAACACATAAAAGGAAACCTATATCTTATACCAACACATAAAAGGAAACCTATATCTTATACCAACACATAAAGGGAAACCTATATCTTATACCAACACATAAAGGGAAACCTATATCTTATACCAACACATAAAGGGAAACCTATATCTTATACCAACACATAAAGGGAAACCTATATCTTATACCAACACATAAAGGGAAACCTATATCTTATACCAACACATAAAGGGAAACCTATATCTTATACCAACACATAAAGGGAAACCTATATCTTATACCAACACATAAAGGGAAACCTATATCTTATACCAACACATAAAGGGAAACCTATATCTTATACCAACACATAAACCTATATCTTATACCAACACATAAAGGGAAACCTATATCTTATACCAACACATAAAAGGAAACCTATATCTTATACCAACACATAAAGGGAAACCTATATCTTATACCAACACATAAAGGGAAACCTATATCTTATACCAACACATAAAAGGAAACCTATATCGTATACCAACACATAAAAGGAAACCTATATCTTATACCAACACATAAAGGGAAACCTATATCTTATACCAACACATAAAGGGAAACCTATATCTTATACCAACACATAAAGGGAAACCTATATCTTATACCAACACATAAAGGGAAACCTATATCTTATACCAACACATAAAGGGAAACCTATATCTTATACCAACACATAAAGGGAAACCTATATCTTATACCAACACATAAAGGGAAACCTATATCTTATACCAACACATAAAGGGAAACCTATATCTTATACCAACATATAAAGGGAAACCTATATCTTATACCAACACATAAAGGGAAACCTATATCTTATACCAACACATAAAGGGAAACCTATATCTTATACCAACACATAAAGGGAAACCTATATCTTATACCAACACATAAAGGGAAACCTATATCTTATACCAACACATAAAAGGAAACCTATATCTTATACCAACACATAAAAGGAAACCTATATCTTATACCAACACATAAAGGGAAACCTATATCTTATACCAACATATAAAGGGAAACCTATATCTTATACCAACATATAAAAGGAAACCTATATCTTATACCAACACATAAAGGGAAACCTATATCTTATACCAACACATAAAGGGAAACCTATATCTTATACCAACATATAAAAGGAAACCTATATCTTATACCAACACATAAAGGGAAACCTATATCTTATACCAACACATAAAGGGAAACCTATATCTTATACCAACACATAAAGGGAAACCTATATCTTATACCAACACATAAAGGGAAACCTATATCTTATACCAACACATAAAGGGAAACCTATATCTTATACCAACATATAAAAGGAAACCTATATCTTATACCAACATATAAAGGGAAACCTATATCTTATACCAACACATAAAGGGAAACCTATATCTTATACCAACACATAAAGGGAAACCTATATCTTATACCAACACATAAAGGGAAACCTATATCTTATACCAACACATAAAGGGAAACCTATATCTTATACCAACATATAAAGGGAAACCTATATCTTATACCAACACATAAAGGGCTAAACACAGAATTGATACTAAAGGAGCCAAATTTAATAAACCATAATATTGCCAAAACTTTTATGTTCAAAACCCCCATAATAATACTACTTTGAAATATCCAAATTGTAGATACTGGCACCTGTATATTTAGTTTAGCAATGTATATATCATTTAGCAACAATTGAAACCATGTATCATCCACTTTACAACCAACGAAACTAATATCCTCAAAACAACTACTACGTCCATCACATTAATGCAGGTTGTACAATACCCATGTTGATGCAAATGAAATCTTACATCAGATGGATGGATTCTGTGACTATCTTTATCATATAACTCTATAAGGATCTCATATTTTCTTCCAGTTTCTAAAACCCATTTTCTGTGTGGCAGGACAACAAATGCTGAAATCAAATAAGTTATCTTTAGTATGGTAAAATAGTAAAATATCTTATAAAATCACAATATAAATTAAAAAATATTGGTTCAATATAAATACTATGTAAATTTGATAATACATTGTACTTTTTCCATTCAAATAAGACCTAACTTCATTGTACTACATTTTTTTCAAGAAATAATATATCTATTCTTTAATATCAAACAAAACTGATTTTTTTTTTATTATCTTTGTATTTTTTGATTAATTGAAAACAATGAATCTTAGAATTTTTTACAATTTTCTACAGCTGCCATTAAGGTAAGGTTTGCATGATACCTGGATTTTTTTCTTAGTGATATTATACCAATATGATACATCATTTTGTTCAGGGAGGAGTGCCCAATCATTTAATGAAAAAAAATCGAAAATCGCCCGTCCCGTTTTTTCAAGTGAAAAGCTCAAAATTGCAATTTTTGACGTTTTTTAGGGAAAATTGTATTTAAATTCTTCTGAAATAATAATATATGCAAGTGACTATAAAAAAATAAAACTGAATAAAACATGTATAAATAATTGTGGTCCATTCATTAATGATAAATTTTAATTCAAAAGTTCTTAAAAAAGTTCCTAAAAACAAGATTTTTTAATTTTTGGGTTTAAAAAAATTCTGTTGCCATGACAACAAAAAGCCAAAAATATCCCCTTTCCGGGTCCAACGTTTTTGTAAAAAACTGTGAACTTAAGGATTTAACTATTTGCATTATAATGAGCTAATAAAATTGGTATGTCCCCGAATTCGTTTTTACGGAAATGGGCGTGATGTGTTCATCTTGTCATTTCTAAAAACACAAAAATATTTTTTTGGTTGATCTGCAAAGAAGAATGTCATCTTTAATAGCATCTTTTTACAAAGAATCATTTTGTCTTGTAACAAATAGTTTGGGGCTTGGGGGGATAAAAAACTATGTGAATTAAGTTTTTTCTATCCTACATTGAACTTTTGATGTCAACCATTGACTTTTATGCCCATAACTATCAGTCGAAGGGGAGGTGTTAAACTTTGGTCATACTTTTTTTGTATTAATACACGTACAAGACTCTGATTTTGAAGGAAACACTTATTTTCTTTCAGTGCTTCAAACTGTAATATTTTGAATATTAGGATAGCATTCTAATTGCCATTAAAAGTAATGAAAATTGCTTTATTGCTCCATGTTTTGTTAATTGTTTGTATGCAGAAATTGGATGAAAAAACATCAGTTTTGACTAGTAAAGTCATTTACAGCAGCCGTGTTTATTCCATTCATTTAAATCTGATTTGTCCAATTGTTACACATGATGTTCAGATTTGGAGTCTTTGACCAAACAAACAAACTACATGCTCCTATACATGATGAGGGGCCTGATGGGTTATTTTCGTTCTTCGTGATCGGCGCATTTTCGCTATGGTGATCCGTTTTTCTACAGACTTATTTTTTTTTTATATTTTTGTGATCCGTGATCATGGAAATTTATTTTCTGTGAATCGTGATTGACAAAAAAATCATCTCGTGAATATATATGTTTTGTTCATATATAAAATAAGAAATAAAGTTATGTAGACCTGTAATATGAAAATCTTCCACATACTTTCATTAAATTAAAATCAATTCAATGAAGTTCACAGGAGTAACGGTACTGTAGTTGAGGAGTCCACACCGTCAATTTGCGATTTGATGTTCGCAAATGCAGTTTTACTGTCAATGCGTAGCGGAGACAGTAAAACGGAAATTTGCGACCGTCAAATCAAAATTGATTGTGGCTACTCTTCAACCACAGTAATGTTATTCCTATTATAATGCGTTACAAAAAGAAATAATACGTTAGAGCTTGAAATAAATGGGGAATGTGTCCATGGGACACTGATGATGCCCCCTCTTGCATAAACATAAAACATTATAAAGCATTACGTATAAATTTTATAACATTTGGTTGAAGCAAACTAGAGGTTTAGAACAGAGACGAAAAATTCAGAAATCGACCTCATAAAAATACCCCGAGCTTCATTTTGAGCTCTTATATACGGAGAAAGACTAAAAACTAACAATTTTCCGGATTTTATAGTGAGTCCGTGCATGTGTAGAGACACATGTTACCATCCTTGCTTTTAGATAAATTGCTTCAAAGTTGACTGATATGCATAGAAGTTTGTTTGATAAGAGGTTGTAAAATGTCCGGTGGCAAATAGTTCAGGCATGTTAAGGACGACACAATACTATAGTTGTGTCCGAAAGACACATTTTTAATGCATCCATAAAAAAAAGAATAAACCACACTTCTATCTTGTGAAAGGAGCTTCCCATACATTAGTTTTTAAGGTTTTACGGCCGGAGACAAGAGAAGGGACATGGGAGAAAGGAAAAAGGTGACCCCTGTCCGACCTGACGACATCAAAATTCAAACTTGTTCTGTGTTTTTGTGGTAATAAGCATTGTGCATAAGTTTCATATCAGTTGGTTGAGGCAAACAAAAGTTAGAGAACGGAAACCAATTTTGTAAAAACGGACGTACACTATGATACGTACATTCGGATGGACGTACAAACAGACAAGAATAAAACTCAATGCCCGCTTTGCTATGGCGGGGGCATAAAAATGTACATTTATGAAATAAAATAAAATTCCGCGAAACTTCATGAATGGTTTTTGCACAAAGACGTTATGGCTAAACGTGACGTCATATAAATGAAAACTAACAAACTGAAGGTCATAATGTTACTTCTACGATTCAAATTTTGATCAAATCACATCAAAACACCAATTTTGAGGTAGGTGTTGTTTTATTTTTGGTAAGATTGTAGTAATCGAACATTGGTTGATCAAAGCAATTTAAAATGGCGGGTCCCTCCATTTTTTAATTATTTGAATTTGAGTTATCTCCCTGTGTACGCAAACCTTACCTTAAGTTACATGTATGATAAATTAATCATTAAAACTTTGTTGATGTCAATTGCAATTCTGAAAGTAAGATTAGTTAAAATTTGACATCATAACAGATGTTGATTACTATAAGAAACCATGAAATCTATAATAATAAGTGCTACCAATTAAAATCCATCAAATGTATGATAGGTGTTGTTAACTATTCTTAATGCATTTAATTTACCTCATAATTTAACTTACCCAAATAACTTGCAGTAACAACATATAACATGGCTGATGGTTTTGTCAAACTATCATTTTCTTTTATATCTAAAAAACACCAACAAAAATTCATTTTTTAAATTTAAAGTGTACACTGAAAAAAAAGTTATTTTTGTTAGAACTCTTATTTAGCATTTCAATATTATTCAATCTTGTACTGAAGCTTCCCTCCATCAAGATTTACACAAACCCCTTTAAGGGATATTCCATTAAAATGGATGTGGGTAGGGGGTTGGGGGTTTGAAGGGAAGTTTTTGGACAAGGGTTTGCATCATTTATGGTTGTATTTCCATTTGATGTTCAATTTCTCAAAGATCGTATATTGGTTGTTGGGAGGATACTGGACTAATGGAATAGCCTTAACTTACTACCACATATATTCTGACTTCAAAGTTTTCTTCTCAATTTAATGTAAAACAAAAGGAAGCATTTTTGCAATAATTTTATCTTAAGTTTTTAATAAAATCAAGTCATAATGTATATAGATAAATAACAAATTAATTTGAAATGATCAGTTTAAATCTCGACTTCAATACTATTAATAGATGTAGAAAATTTCATGGTTTTTCAATAGAACTGACAAATTATAACTGAAACTGTAAATAGTTAATTGAATGTACAAATTTCTCATAAGAATAACTTTTATGTGTTTTAATCCTTTCAATATCTCAGTTCTAGTATTTTCTATTCAATCTGTAAATAGTCTATCAAAGGGATTTAAATTGAATGTTAAAAAAGAAGATTCTAAGGGGAAATAATTAAAATCATAAGTAGAAGAGGGACAGACAAAATATGACCTAAAACACAAACACAATGAAAGGACTTATGATTGAGCATGTCTACTAAACATAAGGGGTAAACGTAGGTGCTATCAAAGACCTATCAGATCCTGCAGCACCAGTGACAACCTTTCTGTTGCTGTCAAGGTACCAGGACACTTAGTACAAATAAACTTACTTTTATCTGTGCGTACAATCTTAGTAAACCCTGGTTCCAGTGCTGTAGAAAGTTTAAGCCCAACAACAAAGGAACTTACTTTTATCAGGGAGTACAATCTCAGTAGACCTAAGTTCCGGTGCTGTAGGAAGTCTTAGTCTAAGAACATATAAACTTACTTTTATCTGTGAGTACAATCTCAGTAGAACCTAGTTCTAATGCTGTAGCTGTTGAAGTACTGGCATCCAAGGTACAAATCATTGTATCCTGTACTTCTAACAAAAACTGTGGAGATGGCATATTTATTTCTGTAAAACAGATTAGAAAACTGGTTAACATGTTGAATCTTGGAAGCATAACATGAAACATATGCAGAATTATATGTGATGTCAGTAACATATATCCACATCAGATTATTAATGTTACTTCATGTTTAACCCTTTGATGGTGACAATTTTCAAATAAACTCCATGTCCTATGCAGTATTTATTGTCTATCCTGTGCTGTCATTAAGACTTTATTTGAATTTTAAATTTCCTAGAATATATGTCATAATTAAAAATGTAGTATTCAAGTAGAAAAAGTTTGTTACTATTCTTTAGTTTGTTTGGAAAACTTTATTTTTCAGATCTTAACAAGGGCACTTATGTCTATAGAAGGGTCTGTTGAAATCTATCCCTAGCACAGTAAATGTTTGAATTATATTTATGCAATTTGATTCATACCAAAAATATTGTTTTTTTTTTTTTATATTTTTAACATTTAATTATGAAGGGACTAGCCATACACTGCCTCAGATATAAATTTTAATTCTATTTGCTAGCCTTCAATTTCCATGTTTCTATGCCTTGCACAAAAATTTTACATAATAAAACAATGAATTGTTTTTCCATATGATAGCAACACTTATTATTCTAATGCAATTATTTTGTATCAATGGTTCTGATTGGATGACAGTAAGCGTACAATTCTCTATCTCCTTGTCTGTAACGAAGCGGACAAGAAGCCAGAAAACGCCCGGTGTTTACGTTTGATGCCGGAAGCTTACCTATGACGTCACATAGTTTAGGCGCCAAAGAAGATAACATTATTTTGCGGAATTTTTGTTTAATGAAAATTTTATACTGAAATAATGACTTAAATTCAACGATTTGTTTATTTTGCATTAGAATAGAGATAACTGTATTGTATTTGAAGCTTTGCGGACGTCCATCGGTAGTTTTACTGTCGCAAATATCCGTTTACCAGTCTCCACTACGCGTCGCCAGATAAACTCAATTTGCGACAGTAAAACTACCGATGGACGTCCGCAAAGCTTCAAATACAATACAGTAATCTCTTAAATATATAACCTAAGTAATAAACGATACCTATGATAGATGTAGCCTTGACCAGTTCTACTGAATACTTTACTGTAGCTAACATCAGTACATAAGATTCTGTAGGTTTGATGTTCAAATTGGCTACTACCATTATCTTTACTATTGATGTTGGAACATCCTAAAAATAAAAGATAAAGCAAGGCATGAGTTAACACTGAATGACTGAGAGAGTAAATTTATTTAGGTATGGTAAAGTTATTCATTTATGATTGTTAATGAATAAGATTTAAAAACACAAGGCAATCAAAAAGTCAGAAATCAGAAAGAGTACCATGGATGAGAAAAAAAAAGACAAACATTATGTCAAAAAACACTAAATGTGAAAATACAAAGGCAATAGAATTCAGTACATCTCTTATTAAAACAACAAGCAATGAATGAGTTGTAGTCACTAAAATCTATTGTAAATACATATGAACTGTTGCATTTTTTTAATTGAAATAAAGCAGTACTTTTGACGATAAAAAGTTCTGGACACAAATTTCTAAACAAAGACACAAAATGAATATGAATCAACTGTATTCAATGGTTTGATAATTCTATTTGTAACTATAATCATCAGGAGTCGATTTCACAAATATACTTACAAATAAGATTGATCGTAAGTCATGAACAATTCAGTATACATACATGTACGATCAATCTTAGTCGTAATTTTTTTGTGAAACCGACTCCCAACCCATAAAAGATATCTGTTTGGACATTTTGACATGCATGTATATAGACATTGTCTCACAGACAAGTTTTTGATAACTCGTTACAGCAAAATCCTCCTAAGATGAGGCACAGCAGTGATAATGTCAATGCATAGAACATATGTAAAGTTTTCTGTTTTGTTTCTTCTAATTTATTATAAATGATAATAATAATAGTTCAAATAATGAGTAGTGATTTATACCTTATAAGCTGAATCTTTAATTCTTGCTTTGACCTTTGCACTTCCTGTACGTATGCCCTCCACTAATATTATATCTCCTTGTACTCCTCTGTCCTCTATTTGACGAATATGTTGTGGCGCTGAATAATCAGATTCAAAGAATCGTAAAATCCTTAAAAAAAAAGTCATTTTGAAACCTCCTGAAAATGGCTCATATCATACTACTGAAAAGATGGAAAGTTACCTTTGAAGATACATACCTAAATTTTTACATCTAAAACATTAACAGTACCAATTTTACTGCACCAGATGCACATTTCAACAATATTCTTCAGTGATTCTGGAGACCAAAACATTTGGAAATCCAAAACTTTTTTTTAAAAATGAAGAACTAATAAAACCAAAACGAAAAAAGTATAGACAAAGCTTGGCAAGGAATATAAATCAATTACCCTTATACTTCAACTATAGCAATGAACTCATCAGAGGTAATAACATTCAGGGTTATCTAGGTTGAAACACAACATAAATATCTCTTACACTTACAGGCAGTCCTAATAGTTTTGGAATATTCAATGTTGTTTGGTTGATGTCACTTTGACCTTGATCAAACATCTCCTCCGAGTTGTAATCAATTGGGGCGTGTTTTTTTGGTCTTCGGTAGTGAGCCAGAAGAGGTCCATTTCTGTTTTTTTGCATTGGGAAGATCTTCTGGCTCTCTTCTCCCTCTTCCTTTTAAATAGGTAGTTTAGACGGCAGAGGCCCATAACAAACATGGCGTCGCTTAGTCTAAATGACATTAATCAATTTATGAATGCAGATATAATAGAATGTGAGCTGTGTGATGAACGTTTTTATGGTATGGCAGCCTTAGTAGGACATCCCTGTAGGGACAATAGGCTGGATGAATATAAGAACTACATGGACAATAACAATAAAAAGACGACTATTTGATATTCTGGGGAGGGGGCAGGAGGATTTTTTTGCGGATTTATTATTCATTCTAATCTGTCGCTAAACACGCCTATTTTGTCAGCTCTTACCTGGCCATCATATTCATATTTAAAATCCTATTGTCCCCCACCCCACCCAAAACAAATATCAAATGGGTTTCCCCTTATTTAACACAAGTTTAAATTGATTGATTGTTGATTGCTTATTTTAAACGTCCAGTGACATATATTTCATGCATGTTCAAGAAAACATGAGTTTCAAAGTCAGGTATATAATATGAAAATAAGGAGTATAGTATTATTGCCAATGAGGAAACTATCCACTCATGTTCAAATGAAGTGGATGTAAGCAATTAATAGGCAACCATACGGCCTTCAACAACGACAAAAACCCATACCGTTTAGTTGGCTATAAAAGGCCCCGACATGAAAAATGTGAAACAATTTAAACAAAAAACTAACGACCTAATTTTATATAATAAAACAGTTTACAAAAAATCAAATATGAGTCGACAGACAACCACAGAACTACAGGCTCCTGACTTAGGACAGGCACATAAAGAATATGTCAGGGTTAAACATGTTTGTGAGCACTCACCCCTCCCCTAAACTGGGACAATGGTGAAACAGTACAAAATAAGAACAAACTGTTAAAATCATTTGTAATAAGGTTAACCCAAAAGATCGGTACAAGACACAAAAAACAACTAACATTTTAAAAGACAATAGACACAAAGCACCGAAATAAGAGTATTTGCAGTTAATGAAAGTTTGTTCAAAGCTAATTACAAGTAACACTGAAATAAATGTTGTTCTCCCAGACTATCTTTTATATACAAAAATAATCCAGTTTAGTTACTTCAAAATTGTTTGATAGACAAAATATCCTTTTCGAGCATATACCAGAAAAACATTGACAATTTTTTGTACAGTTTAAAATTATTCCTAAAAATCAAATGGTCGGAGCTTTAAGCCAGATTTGTTTACCAAAATTGAGCCAGGAAAGAACACATCGATTTCTTCCAACTAATTTTCTTTGTTTTTACACTTATTGTATAATTACATCAATACCAAAACAGAGCACATCATTACTACCGACTGAATTGACGTATGTTAATTTTCTAATAAATCATCGTAAACTTTTATTTATGTCAGCCAACATAAAAAAAAAAAAATCTGCAATATTCGACGGTAAATTGAATTTTTGCTCTATTGCTTCTTCTACAGAATATCTCCAGAAGAAGTCCAGATTCATTTCTTTGGACTCTTCACCAGAAGACATTCTGGAGATGTACAGAAGAGACCAATAAAACACGCCCCATCAGTTTACCAATATTTAAGTATTTACAAACCTTAATATGTTATATGCATCGAAAGCTTCACTTTTTTCAGCATCTGATAAAAGGCTCCATTCAAACTCCAATCCTGCTAAGCTGGAAAAGACATTCCCTGTAACAAATTCACAAATAATTTATTATATTTCATTATGCTTCAATGACTAGATAAGATAAACCTGTTCTGTAATATAGATACAATGAATAAGTGTTGATTCTTGAAAAAGAAACCATGAACCCAGAGGGCGAATGTTTTGTTTTTCATGAATCAATGCTTATCCATTGTATCTATAACTTAAACTATTGTGTTAATGTCTTTTCAAAATTAAAGCCTTTTCTTAATTAGCAGGTATTGTAAGTGATTTTAAATAACCCTGTTATCATGTTCAACAATGCATTACTAAATATAAGATCACAACTAATTGGTTAGAAAAATACAAATATAACACAACACGTCTGCCTTTAAATTATCAGGCATCTGAATATTATCTGTGTTACAAAATAAGACATATTCGAACTTATTTCTAATAAAATTGAGAATGGAAATGGGGAATGTGTTTAAGAGACAACAACTTGACCAAAGAGCATATATAAAGTATATATAATAAGTATGTTACCGAAATTTCTAGCAAGAAGCCTAATTCTAGGCACATCACATAAAAAACAAAAATGGACAAATTGAATGTAATCATTTTCGTTTCAAATATGTGAAATAGCCAATAATAATCCAAAAATAAACTGTAAAACTCGCTATTATTACAAAAATATCCACAATTACATACAAAATAAGAAAAAAAACCAGAAAACTAAAGAATAGGGACAACAAAGAGAATAGACTGACATGTACATCTTAAAATATTTTCATACACCAAATATAGTTGACCTTCTGTATACAGCAATAGAAAAACAGACCAAAACACAAAAACTTAAAATTGAGCAATGAACTGTGAAAATGAGGTAAAGGTCAACTCAAACCTGCCATACTGACATGTACATCATAAAATATTTCCATACACCAAATATAGTTGATATAGTTGACCTACAGCATACAGTATTGGAAAAACAGACCAAAACACATAAACTTAACATTGAGCAATGAACTATGAAAATGAGGTCAAGGTCAAATAAAACTTGCCAGACTGACATGTATATCGTAAAATAATTCCATACACCAAATATAGTTGATATAGTTGACCTACTGCATACAGTAATAGAAAAACAGACCAAAACACAATAAATGCTTTGCCAAGCGCAGCTGGATACGACCGCAGAGGTCGAACCCTGAACAGTTGGGGCAAAAATGGACACAATATTCGCGCTTGATACAGGTCTGAATTTGGATTGTAATTAAATATTTGAAATAATATAGGTTTCTGAATAAAAGAAGTCAAAGAACTTGAAATTGGTTATATGAATTGAATTTATATTCAATTAAAACTTTCTTGCTGTTGTACAAATGAATATAATAAAAATAAATGGGGTGTGTGTGTCCATGGGACACAGATGATGCCCAAGCTTGCATATCATATCAAGTTATAAAGGGACATAACTGAAGAACGGTAAAAGTGACACTACCCAAATTTGTACTTGATCTGAGTTTTGTGGTAAAAAGTATTGTGTGTAAATTTTATAAAATTTTGTTGAGGCAAACTTAAGTTAGAGAATGGAAACGAAAAATTCAGCAATTTTTCCATTTGTAAAGGGGCATAACTGTTGAACAGTAAAAGTGACACCACCAAAATTCAAACTTGATCTGTATTTTGTGGTATTAAGCATTGTGTATAAGTTTCATAACATTTGGTTGAGGCTAACTTAAGTTAGAGAACGGAAACAAAAAATTCAGCAATTTTTCCATTTGTAAAGGGGAATTACTCTAGAACGGTTAAAGTGACACTACCCAAATTTGTACTTGATCTGAGTTTTGTGGTAAAAAGTATTGTGTGTAAATTTTATAAAATTTTGTTGAGGCAAATTTAAGTTAGAGAATGGAAACGAAAAATTCAGCAATTTTTCCATTTGTAAAGGGGCATAACTGTTGAACAGTAAAAGTGACACCACCAAAATTCAAACTTGATCTGTATTTTGTGGTATTAAGCATTGTGAATAAGTTTCATAACATTTGGTTGAGGCTAACTTAAGTTAGAGAAAGGAAACAAAAAATTCAGCAATTTTTCCATTTGTAAAGGGGAATAACTCTAGAACGGTTAAAGTGACACTACCCAAATTTGTACTTGATCTGAGTTTTGTGGTAAAAAGTATTGTGTGTAAATTTTATAAAATTTTGTTGAGGCAAACTTAAGTTAGAGAATGGAAACGAAAAATTCAGCAATTTTTCCATTTGTAAAGGGGCATAACTGTTGAACAGTAAAAGTGACACCACCAAAATTCAAACTTGATCTGTATTTTGTGGTATTAAGCATTGTGTATAAGTTTCATAACATTTGGTTGAGGCTAACTTAAGTTAGAGAACGGAAACGAAAAAATTCAGCAATTTTTCCATTTGTAAAAAAGGGGCATAACTCTAGAACGGTTAAAGTGACACCACCAAAATTCACACTTGATCTGTGTTTTGTGGTAATAAGCATTGTGTATAAGTTCTCTAACTTTTGGTTGAGGCTAACTTAAGTGAGGCGGAAACGAAAAAATTCAGCAATTTTTCCATTTGTAAAGGGCATAACTCTAGAACGGTTAAAGTGACGTCACCAAAATTCAAGCTTGATCTGTGTTTTGTGATAATAATCATTGTGTATAAGTTACATAACATTTGGTTGAGGCAAACTAAAGTTAGAGAACGGAAACCAACTTTGGGACATACAGACGGACAAGGGTAAAAGTTAATGCCCCCGCCGTGGTGGGGGCATAAAAATGCATTTTAAAAGGTAAAATCTTTTACTTGACAAGGTGTATATAATTTTTTAGAAAAATTGTAATTTAACTACAATACTGTTTCTGGTTAATTAATACATACATTTATTATTTTGACCTCAGGATTCATATTTACCTGCATCATCATATCCTTGTATAATAAGTTCTTCAGGAGAATCTTCCAAATACAAAGCTCTAGTTGTCGTCTGGATCTCAAATTGAGATATAGCTTTTACAATCACAATGCATTTCAATTTCTCACCAGTAACTGCAAAGTAAAACAATATTAGCATATGACATGTTTGTGCACAGCTTTTGATTACATTTTCGCAAATTTGTTTTGCAGGTAAACTCAGGTAAATGCAGGTAGATAATTCTTTTTTATTTATCTATTTATTTATTGAAGTGTTTTTTATTTATCATGTTTATTTAACTATTTAAGAGTACAAGTCCCCCTTCTGTTAAGTATAATTTCCCTGCTCACCATTTTACTGTGCATCAACATGAAATATCCCTTGAATTAAGTGTTCTGTCGTACACTAATGATTTTTTCCCCAATATGTTTCTGACAAATGAAACTCCCATGTTTGTGCCTTGACCTTACTTTACAAACTGACTCAAATCATTTACTAAATTTAAAGCGATCACTATTTGGTAAAATTAGGAAACAGAATGCTATCCACTCCGAAATATTCATAAAGTTAAGTTACATGTACAACATGTATGCCCTAAGCTATTAGGGATTTCTCATGATCACTTTATAAATTTTTTTGGAATTCAATATGAAAAATATATAATTTAAATTTACAAATATGTTCAAAATTGATAACTTTAGTCATATTTATAATGAATTATCTTTTATTTTTACCTGTGTTACCTGTAAAATGAATGCACTCAAATGTAATCAAAAACTATGAGCAAATGTAAAAAAAAATAATTGTTTGAATACAATAAGGTGATTTACATATAGAAAAATAAAACTGGAGATTGCATATTGCCAATGAATTTTCTGTATTTAATATGATGGCTAGTTTGTGATGTAGTCATTTAGACACAACAGAAACAATGGAGGAGATGGCATATTACCTTTATTTTCTGTCATAATGATAGCTTGTTTACGATGAGGTGATTTAGACATAACAGAAACAATGGCGGAGAAGACACATTACCTTTATTTTCTGTCATAATGATAGCTTGTTTACGATGAGGTGATTTAGACATAACAGAAACAATAGCAGAAAATGCACACTCTCCATCAGTACTGTTAACAAGTGTCAAAGATGCAGTTTCTGGTGTATTTGAACTCCTGAAAAATAAACATAGAGGTGTAAAAGATACATGTATATGTATGTATTAAATTCATGAAAAATTGTCCACTTTGAAATGTAAATAATGCAATGATTAGTACATGTTATTCATTTAGTCACATACTACTACATGTATATATAGTATAATGTTACATAGTGTTGGATAATTGGTTGAAATTACCAAACAATTATCTATAACTATCGGTTGACAGCAACCAACCAACTATCCGTTATAATCGCATAATTATCGCTTGCTCTTTTTTTTTTAATATGAAATCATGCATTCAGCAACATTGTACATGCATGTCTTATGCATATATTCCATATCATTGCAGAGTTTTATTTGTTAATGTTTGATCTTTTGTTTACTTTGCATATTTTAGTTAGCAATTAAAACAGTGAATCAATTGGAAACCAGATTCAGATTGCGCATGTTGTAATGCTTGCCTCCCCCTTTTTATGGTAAACTTGTACATGTTTGTATAGTTTCTTGAAATTATTGAGGATAAGGGATAGATGTTAGTGAGATGTCCAATGTTGAAAGTAATATAAAGAATTGCAATTTGTTGTTATGGCTGTTGTTTCAATGTGTGATTACTGGAAAGCGAGAGATTTGTGTATGTTAGGAAGTTAGGTTTCACATTCTGCCTCCATATTTTCTCTGCAGTTTCCTGATTTGACTATTAACACAAATAAAACTCTTCTAATGATCTACTCATAAATTTAAAGTCAAAACCTATCTTTACTGATGAAGATCAATCCATGTTTACAAACAATATCAACATTACGGGAATTTCCCTTAATGTTGATCCATGGTTGCTTATTTGTAAACAATATGTAACAAGCTCTGTCATTTGTCTCAGAAGTATAAATGCAAAAACAACAACAGAACCGTTGGGTTGACAATGTTGGAAGGTGGCAAATTTAAATAGAAGCTAAACTATGTCTGATAATTACAACCAAGCGGTGAAAATTAGTAAATACTGTATATGATAATATTTAACTTTGTTTTTATCAAAGGTTGTCCGTGCCGGTGACGGTGCTAAGGTTGTGGGTGATGGTGTTAAATACAGTTGCCGGTGACAGTGCTAGATTTGGTTGCCAGTGACGGTGCTAGATTTGGTTGCCAGTGACGGTGCTAAGGTTGTCGGTGTCAGTGCTAAGTTTGTGGGTGCAGGTATTAAATAATATAGCCATGGACAGTGATTAAGTTTCTTATTGATAGTAACTATTTTATAAATGATGAGACTAAATAATATTGCCGGTGATGGTGCTTATGTAGCTAGTGGTTGTGGTCAAGTTGTTTTTGGCTGTGCTACATGTAAATAAGTTTGAGGCTTCTGGTGCTAATTAAGATTGTCAGGGACACTGTTAATGTAGTTATTGACGGTGCAAATTAAGGACGTGTGTGTCGGTGACGGTGCTAAGGTTGTTAGCGACAGTGCTTAGGTTGTTTTATTGACAGTTCTAGGGTACTAATATGTTGTTGCTTTTATTATGCTACGTTGATGATTTATAATGTTGGATAGTGATATTAATCTTGAATTTGGGTTTATTGGAAGATTTTAAATAAGTGACAACCTTGTTACTTAACTGTTGAATTATATGCTAGTAGCTTGTTATTAATGAAAGTTTGTTTGTCTACTGTAAGACCAACCATTATCGGGACCCAACCAGACCAGTGACAGAGCCTGCAAGACACAATCTCTCCGTAGTTGTTTATTTTAGTACTAAGAAAATATGAAACTTTATTCATTCAGATATTTTATTTCATAACTCAGAATATATATATAATCACAAGTATATGATTTCCCTTTCTGTAACATTTTTGGTCCGACAGTAAACATTAGACATCGAACCTAACACTTTATAGACCCTTTCTCCTTTTCTGTGTGACCCTGGGATCTCTGATGGCAGATTATAGCACCTGGGAGGCAGCATTTCATATTTTGTTTCATAATCACAACAGTGAAACTCAAATTTGTAAATTTCAATGGTACATGCATGACATGTATTTTTCACATCACTCACATGATGATTTCAAATAAATAGCTGTATCAAAATTTGAATGTTTCTCATTAAAAAGATATATAAAGTATTTAACTTTAAGCATCTTAAATCAATAAATTGAACAATAAATGCATTGAAATATATACATTTAACCAAGGGATCCAACCAAATGTCCATTATTGAATGCGTATTTGTCACTTTAGTGATCATTCTTCTTCTGTCACCTGTGCCCTTCGTGTGTCTGTAGTTATTAATGTAAGAAAACGGATTTTCATCATAGTTAATCTGTATTTGATCCGTGATTTGTTTATATTTTCAATGCCGGATAAAAGGGAAATTTACAAAAATAAATATTAATTGACAAGCGATTTGGAAAGGAATATAACGTTTATAATGCAATAAATAGAAGTAACATTAACTAAAGACAATTTTCATCACGTTTTAAAGTAGTAAATTTATTTTGCTGAAAATCAGAATGTTTTGAGGTATGCTGTTGAGTAGAAAGTACTGGACGTGAAAGAAAATATTTCATACAAAAGTTGTTTCTTTTAAAAAGCATACGATCAATCTTTAAAGTCAATGATTTTACCATATTTCTAAAAAGAAATTATTTATGTCTTTCATCATTATTGGATGTTGACATTGTTTTTGTCATCTGTTGATATTTTTCGTGACAATTTGTATGACTGCGCATGTAAAATGGAAACCGGAAACAGACCAGAAGTTGATATTCTAAAGTTCCGGTAAACATAACGACAAGCGATTGAACAAAATCCCTATTGATTATCGACGTCATTGAGCCCAACCAACTGATTTCTGATCATCTGAACACCACTAATAATGTATTTATTAAAATTCATTTGTTTTAATGTACAGCGTCTACATCCCTTATACCATCCAATAGTTCAAATCTTCCAAGACAATGGTGATGGAGATGTATTTTAATATATTACATATATATATTCATATGACCAATTAGTTGGACCATATTGTCAGTTTAAGATATTGTATAAAATAAGTTTGCATGGTTGGAAGTAGTATAATTTTCTTCGTTTTTGTCCAGAAATATATTGGTCAAACGTGTTCTTCATATGTTAATAAATTATGTTGGACAAATGTTTTTTTTTTTGCTTCATTTTTTCCCGGGATACTTATATAATCTTGTATTACAAAGGTTATCATTTTCACATGATTTGATAAAAGAACATTTTCTAAGCTATTTAAATTTGTATGAAGCATAATTTTTTTTCTGACAAAATTATATCTTTTGCTCTAAATTAACACAAACGATTCTGAATATAATAAGAGCATTTCAAATTAAGTCTCTGGAATTATTGGTATATTAAGGCTTTTGAGCATAGAATATCAAATTAAATTAAAGAACCTTAGTGAGCGTGCTCACATACCCCACGTCCCCACATTGTCACTGGAGAAATAAAATAACTGTAAAAAAAATTGTATAAGAAAAAAAAATTGAATCATAATTTCCTGTCGATATGCACATCTACTAAGTATGTCCTTATTATCTACAAAGTTTCATGAAATTCTGTTGTGTGGTTTCAGAGGAGTTGAGATGACAAACTGTTGCAGAGGTATATTGAAGCAAATAAGTTCAAAGGGGCGTAACTCCTAGAAAAAAAATTGAATCGTAATTTCCTGTCGATATGCACATCTACGTAGTATGTCCTTATCATCTGAAAAGGTTTCAGGAAATTCTATTGTGTGGTTTGAGAGGAGTTGCGATGACAAAAGGTTGCAGTAGTATATTGGGCAAATAAGTTCAAAGGGGCGTAACTCCTGGAAAAAAAATTAAATCATAATTTCCTGTCGATATGCACATCTACGTAGTATTTCCTTATTACAGTACTACCTGTGACATTATCTTATTAATGGTGGCCATAAAAAATATGGTCACCATGATGGCCCTAAATGTCCATCATTATACCCCCTGCTGCTTAATTAATACACAAGGTATTAATCAAAAACTAGTCAAGGATAAAGAGAAATCATGACTGCATTGAAGTGTTAAAATTACATAACTTACAGGTTAAGTGTCTCAGGGAAAATATATGACTTTTTGTGTTTGTCAAATTTTATAGCTGTGATTATGACAAGAATATTCTAAAATAAAATGAAATAATGAAACTAGTTGAACATATAGCTTCCTAACTTTTGTTGTAAAAATTTTCTCATGACTGTTTGCAAATGTTTGTTTTGATGTTATAACTTTTAAATAATTCTATCAATTTAAGTTATTTTTTACATGTATTTTTTGGCAAGTGAATAATAAATGAATATCATCTTCTAATATAATGCAAACTTTCACAACGCCTGCCTTTTTCCATTGAAAAGGTGTTTCTCAAATTAATTTTCTAAAATCAAAATTGTTTATACTTACTGCATTTAACAATTGTTTATCAAATGTTTAAGATTATCTTTAGGACTTATTCTTAATAAAATTTAGGCATTTCATTATTTCTCTATTGAATAAATACATGTATATTCAAAATATTCATTATAGAAAAATTAGATAATTTTTTTATTGTCATATAAACATATTACAATTTAATCAAGTTTCTGACAAATAAAAACCCAAAACAAACATTATAATGCAAAGAAATAACAATTCTATAAGAAATCAAAACACATGGAAAAAAGTTATTAGGTTTCTGCCCTCAGTTCTAACAAGGATTTGTATAGTCCTCTCACTATACAAATCCTTGGTTCTAATGACTTTCTTTTATAAAGGAGTCAATATTGTAAACATGTTCCATTGGTTTAGCATTTCTTTTACTTTTTGTTCTTGGTTAAGATTTTATTCATAAGATTCAAGATTTTATTCATAAACTGGTCAGAGGCATTATTATGAGAAGGTAAACAATTTTCAAATAGATTATCTCTAAGTCGTTATGTTAATTTTACAAACAATTCTATCCTTTATCATGTTTATAGTAATTTTTATCCACCATTTTCTATTTCTAAATTATGA